ACACGTTTCCTTTTTTTACCACTGATAACTTGCACGTGCCGTGAGCCTAGTGTCAACAGAAACGGAGTGACCTTTACCGTGAGCAGGCAGTAGAGGCGCGCGCTCGCCCAGCTCTAAAAACACGGGTCCAAACCAGACAAGGGAGATCACGCTAATCTGTTTCACTTTCGGCTGTTGTCTCCCTTCGGCAGGGTGAACCTTGTTTTCGCCCCTTGTTTTCTTTTTTTTTTTTTAATCAGTGTCTGCTGTAAGGTTAATTATTCGGGGCATGTCTCTAATTAATCGTAACAGAAAACACGGGGTAAGAAGCCAGATAATGTACTCGATTTAGTTTCTCGTTAATTTCTTTTTGTTTTTCGTTCGTTAATCAACACATGTTCATCCCCAAAGCCAAAACCTAGAATTCGTTTTACAGTAAAATTATGTTTTAAAAAATAACAAATAATGGTTTAGAATTTACGAATCTTTGAAAAGTTACCATTTTGTTTGAAAAGTTTCACATTTTTAAAAGTTGAAAATAAATTTAAAAACTTACAAATGTTTAGAAGTTAAAAAATAAGCTTCAAAGGTTACAAAGGTTTAAAAAGTTACCAAGTGAAGAATGTGCCCAGTAATTGAGTTTATACCGTACATGTTCCAGAAAGAACCAACAGATAAGTATGTTAAAAACATAATATTATAAACAATGTAGTAGTAGCCTTATGACATTTTTAAATCAAACGATGAAACGCTTTTAAAAACCTATAATTATTGGCCATAATTTATATTTCAACTCAAGTTTAGAGGTGTTTTTTCTGATATTGCCTTAGCGATGGATTTTAAAAAAATAACAATAAAGTTTTCGGGCACCAAAGTGGTACCAAATGTAATTGACAGTGTTACTAAAACAGGTACCAAAAACTCGTTTATTTAAACTAAGTTCACCCCGGTGCATACAATACCTTGGTATTTATAAATACACTTGGGGAAAAGCACGAACAATATTTTATTTAAAAATCTAAAAATAAACCGTCCTCGTTATCCCAGCATTGACAAGGGCGTCAGTGTTTACCACACGAAGAAAGTGACTCGTCTTCAGATGAATGGAGATTTGCCTTTTTATCTTTATGAGCTACACAGACGAAAAAAAAACTTAATTGAAGCCTTTCATCTCATCCGCTTCCTTCTGAAGAATCCTTATTTAGAAAACTGAAAAATAAAAACAACTTCCGGTTAGATAATGAAGGAACTTTCGTTATGTCTTGGCTTCAAAGGCGTATACTCAAAACGGACGTGTTTATACATATAAATTTGCATGCTCACATACTCACAGATGCACACGAAACATAGATATACCAATACACACACACACACACACACACACATATATATATATATATATATATATATATATATATATATATATATATATATATATATATATATATATGTTTATTATAAATATGTACATATATATATAAGCGTGTGTGTGTTAGTGTGTATACTTGCTTGCGTGCGCCCTAAAAAAACGAATTGCATTTTTCACATAGCTTTTTTCACCCACTTGACCCAGCGTGCGGTCTCCTTAAATTGGACTTTCACTTTTCTGGTGTAACAGGCAGCAACAGCATACACAACACAGCAGCAGCATCGGTGCTTGTGTATTGCATTGTATTGCAGTGAATTGCATTGTGCTGTGGTTGTGGTCGCTCCCAACCAACTGCAGACAGACTGCTTTAGAGACGACAGGGATTTAGAGATACGAGACATCAAAGGAAGTAAAACAATTTAAAAAGCAGGGTGGGAATGATTTAAGGGGAGAAAAAAAGTGACAGGAAAGGCCTTCAGCTAAGAATCAAGACATTATTTGTTATCGACCCCCCCCCCCCCACACACACACAGACACACATCCACCCTTCCCTTTTTTGTATCCAGCTTTGCCTCTGAGCGGCAATAAAATAAATTAGCGATGACAAAACTGTTGAGAGGAACAATGTCCCTCAAGGCATGGTCTGACATTTCAAATATTACTAGTGGAACCTTTCTTTGGGAACTTTTCAAGTATTCCTAGGGGAACCTTACTTTGGGAACGTTTTGAAATATTACGAAGGGAACCTTACTCTGGGAACTTTTAAAAATATTACTAGGGGAACCTTACTTTGGGAACTTTTTTAAATATTACGAAGGGAACCTTACTCTGGGAACTTTTTGAAATATTACGAAGGGAACCTTACCCTGGGAACTTTTTAAAATATTACTAGTGGAACCTTACTTTTGGAGCTTGATTACTAGGTGAAACTTACTTTGTAAACTTTTCAAACATTACAAGTAGAACACTACTCATAGTGAAAAGTCGACACGGGGAACATTATATTGGAAGCTCTATTGAGGCTTCTTCGTTCTTTACACATTCGTTGTATTACACTCTATCCACCCCACACCTACCCCATACCCACCCCACACCCACCGCACACCCGCCCCACACCCACAGCACATCCACCGCAGACCCACCCCACACCCACCGCACACACACCGCACACCCACTCCACACCCAACCCGCACCCATCCCACACCCATCGCACACCCACCGCACACCCACTCCACACCCAACCCGCACCCATCCCACACCCATCGCACACCCACCCAGAATACACGCACTTAAACAGCTATAAAACGTTTAGCATTAACATATGTGTTATTATTATTTAACTGAGACAAATGGTCGAAATTTAAAAGCATTTCTATTTATCTTCCCCTTTTTAAAAGTTTACTACTTTCTTAACAAGCCATTTACTTTCCAAGTTCTGTTCGAGGTTTTATAATAGAAATTTACGAACCAAAGTTCAAATTTTTTGGAACACTTAAATTATCAAAGAAAACAGCCTGTTTATCATTTATAATTGACACGTCTTTATAAGACTGAAATAGACTTCCCGTCTTTACATACAGTTTATTAGGCGCTTAAATCGTGTCAAATTTATTTTGATAAACGTAAAGTTATGCGCTTTTACATTAGGACGAAAGGGTTTTTATTTAAAGTAAAATACATAATTGAGATATTAACATTATTCATAGTATCTTTATAGCTGCATCTGCATAAAAATAATATTCTGACAAAAAGCAAGCTAATTAGTTAATTAACGTCTAGAGAATTTCAGCCTGTGATTTTTTTTCTGCTGACAAAGTAAACATAACTCGACGGAGGCTGTCTAACATAACTCGACGGAGGCTGTCCAATACATGCACTCCAGTAAATGCGCTCTAGAACTTTCTTTTTGTTAATGTATTGGCTAGGGTGCGGTTGTGTGTGCTGGGTGGGGAGGGGATGGCTTTAGGAAGGTCAGGGGTCAGTGCTTTAGAAATTCGCTTCACATTTAGTGGTCTATGATCTATAGCGTAAGAAGCGAAAACAAAGATTAATAATCTTTTAATTGTCATTGTTAGAAATGAAGTGATACCTTTTAAGTGAAAAGAATGCATCGTGTTATGGTGGTGTTGATATGGTGGTTTGGAAGTAATTGTTTGATGTGGTAATGTTGTGTATGATTGGTGTATTTCTGGGTTAGGGATATTGTCACGTTAGAGGGATGTTTTGTGTGGGTGTTATTTTGTGCGAGTGTTGATGTGTTTGAGTTTTGATCTTTTGTGTGGGGAGTGATGTATTGTGTGTGAGGTTATGTTTAGTGTAGGAAACTATTTTTGTGGGAGATGTTTTGTGTGAGTGTTGATGTTGTGTGTGAGTGTTGATGGTGTGAGTGAGTGTTGATGTTGTGTGTGAGTGTTGATGTTTTTAGTGGGAAGTGATGTTTTGTGTGGGAAGTGATCTTTTGTGTTGGGTGGGTGTTTAGTATGAGAGACAATGTTTTGTGTAAGTGATGTTGTTTTGAGTAAATGTTCATGTTTTGTGTGGGAAGTGATGCTTTGTGTGGTAGAAAATATTTAGCGTTGAATGTGATAATCTGTGTTACTTGATACTTGATCCGACGGTGACAATGTATGGGGATAAACTTCTATAACAGCAACCTTACTCTTGACTCTTGTTGTGTAAACTACTACACACATTTTCAAGTGAGGTCATTAGCACAATCAGTCAAAAGCACATGACTTGAAGCAATTAAATTAATGCGAAGGAAAAACGCATGCATGCATCAGTACAAAGGTCACGTTCATTAACCTTTTCCTTACATTGTTTACTTTTCTTAGGGCTGCTTTTTTTTTACGTAAAAAGGCAAGTTAGAATAAACGGAGAAAATTTTCCAGCAGTCTGAAAATGGACTCGTCCATTGAATGGGGGTGTTGTAAAGTAGTACCAGGGTCATTGCTAGGCTTGGTCTAGACATTCCTTACTAATTTTAGGGTTTTAATCCTTGGACTCGAAACACTAAATCTACTATTACTACTGTTAATCTAACGCACCTGTTTTTGTAAGCGTCCATTGCCTGTCGCTATTAAAAAGGAGTACTCTAATTTACGAGTGATAAGCTATTTATTGGTAGTAGGCTAGTGTGCTGCTTAGTAGTCAACTGAACATTGGTCTAACACCGCTTTTTTATAACTATTTACTGCATTTGATTAAAATGAATGAACTTGTAGTAATTCTATTTTATTAAACAAAGAAAAAAAAGATGGACGTGCTTTAATAATATTGAAATCATATAATGAAGTTTGTTCGATTAAAAAGTGAGTTAGTCAAATTAAATGTCAAGCCTTGACGTAAAACAGTGATTTTAATCGTCATTTATCATATTCGATTATCATGGGAATACTAACGAAAATGTACCAGTTTAACTGTATCGAAATGCCTCGCATGATATTAATAGTATCACTATTGCGATAGATGTCATAATCTATAATTGTTAGTATTATGATTTTATCACTAGCCTAGCATGTGAATGGCGTCATTCACCACAGGGCAGTCAAAATACCCAACGGATTTTTAAGTACAGCTATATTCCTCTCGCGATGCTATACAACATACAGTTTTAAAAAGTCTATAAAAATGTTTTTATTGATCCCCGCAGCTCCTTCAAGGCCAAAGTTTATTGACAAGTTGTTGACCGGGGCCTCCAACCTTAGCAGGATCTACCCAGGCAAGTCCCGGACCTCTAAGAGAGCATCCTCACCCGAGCAGTCCAAGTTTTACGTTGCATACCCAGCCACCCACTCCGATCCTATTGGGGAAGTTCTACCCGCTTGCTCCAGCAAAGACGCCACAGAACAAAACGATGAACGCTTCGTGTGTGAGAGATGCAGCACTGTGAAAGATAGGTCTTCGTCTTCAGACCCTGTGAAAAATATTTGCGTTGATTGTGATGAGAACAACGCGTATGAAGGTTTCGATTTTCACTTTGAATACACGTCGGATGTACACTCTGGTGTGAGGGAAAATCAAGAAGAACCGTTGTATGATGTGGTGTCCGATGTCAATTCTGTTACCGATGTTGATATCGTAGATTCTGGCAGAAATTCCAATACTTTCGCTTTCCAAAATTGTGAGGACCATTTGCGTGAAGAAAAAAATCAGGATGAGGTTGTTTATGAGTTTTGTAACACAGATAATTTGATTGTGTATGAGGAAGTTGATGTTCGAGACACCACTGGTGAAAACTGTGACTCGGAGCTCTCTGTTGATATCCCAGACTGCTCTGATGCAGCGAACCCACCGCAGATCTCTCCAGGGTTCGTTCGCAGACAGTGCCAGGTGTTCTTGCAGTCCACACAGAGCCAGGAGAGCTCACCTTGTACAGGTAAAAAAGTGCAGAGGTCCGCCAGCGATCTGACCTCACCTGCAATCCGGCACCGGCAAAAGAGACAATCTGAAGGAAAGATTGAGCAGGGTGACAGATGGGTGAAGAATTATAACTTGTCCAGGAATACCAAATTCACTGAGGCAGTTATGGCTAAAGGCTATGTCAAGGCTTTAGCCGAACAAATTAACCACCAGGGGGCCTTGCAGATCCCTGAAGATGATGACGATGATAACGATAAAAAGAAAAATGAGGATGACGACTTATCTATGCTGATGAGTTATAAAAGCGACGAGGCACGCAAGAGTCTGGTGCAGGAATTAATAGACGCTGCAGAAAGGAGCAATGGCATCAAAGAAAATGGAGTCGGTGGTCCCAACAGAACTCCCACTAGACATTTGGTGACTGGCAACGACTCCGCTGGTAGCCACGGGTCCTGTAGTTTAGCATCTTCCACCGCTAGCCTGCATCTTCCAAAATCTCCCATCAAAGTGAATGGGGATGTGAGTCACTTATCTATAAACAAATGCAATGGTAATACGAAATGCAATGCTCAAAATTTAAGTGGCACTTCAGGCTCATCGCCATCGTCTAGTAATTGCGTCAAGAAAACATCAACATCATCACCTTCTCCCAAACCGTCTCCTAAATCTTCACCAAAACCTTCACCGAAACGTTTTTTCCTATTCTCACAATCTCAAAAATCACAGCAGTCGTCGGCAGAATCGTCACCGCAAAGAGAAAAACCGCCCGTTGACTATTCCAGCAAGCCCAGAATTTCGCAAAAGATATCCATGTCTGGCATCCCCTCCCCCTCCTCAACGACCACGTCCCCAACTAGATCAGCCACGTCACCCGTAGGTAACGATTTCACCCAAAGAATATCTATTCTCACACAGACTCTGTCTTCATCCAATGACGACGAAGTGTTTTTACGAGAAACGTCGAAACGATCCAGCGACACGTACCGAGACTCAGTGTTCCGGACTATTTACGACAACGGCCCGGCCTTGTCGGCGGCCGAACTGTTTGACTCGAGCTGGTCGGATTCGGACAGTTGTGATGGGAGCGATGACGATGAAACGGATTCTAATAAAAAGCACGCAAAGAAACAAAACAAAACCGAAGAGGATAAACCTGAGCCACAGGTAATTCATTTAATAATGTTACCTTTTGTTGTGTTGTCATTTTGTTAATTTATTCAGGATGACTTGTGAGCTCATCGTGGGGACGGCGTGGTCAAATGGTAGAGCGTTTGGCTGCTAGCCCGAAGGTCTCAAGTTCGGATCTGCTTGGAGTTGTCACGGAGGGACCTCCACCCAACTCTGATGGGTGTCTGAAATTGATGAATACTTTTTTGCTTATTATAATTTGAAATGTCACTAATTACATTCGAGACTTAAAATTTCAAAACTAAAATTATCTAATAGACCTACTTAATTATACCCTCACCCCTTCCACAATCGAATCTTATTCCAATAATATTGAATTAAAAAAAAACCCACTTGTAGATTTAATTCAGGATTTTCTAGTTAGATTTAAATTCTCTTTATCTGGCAACTATTGTACCACTGAGACTGTTACACAATCCTGCAGGTCACTGAACAGCCGGAGGTCCCGCCTGCTGACAAAAGGTTCAGGGTCGCTTCTGAGTTGCTGCAGACAGAAAGGGATTACGTTTCCAGACTGCATCTTTTACACCAGGTAATTATATTATTATAAGCCATCACAAATTAAAATGAGTAGGGGCATCCTTCCTTTGATGAGGGGAGGGGAGTGAGGACAGGTTACGAAAGTGCAACGGATAGAATCTAGATCTAGATCTAGATCTAGTTGATAAACAATAAATAATAAATACACAATGAGATAATACACACTTAAGAAAGAGAGCATTTTTGTATTTTTAAAAGAAAATTTGCTGAAAATTTTTATTTCTAAACTAAGTGGTTTAACTTTTCATTTAAAATTGATCATTTGTACAAAGGGACATGGTTTCTTTCAAACTTTTCTTCAGGAGAGTGGCGCTTAAAATTTCTGGGGGGAGGGGGGGGGGGGGGAGACACTGATAAATCAGATTATTGATTAAAGTAAGGCTTTAACCAATCTTTGTATTATGTATGATTTATTTTCTTTCTATATCGTCAGGGTGTGTGGGAGGGGGGGAGGAGGTGTTGGGGAAAGCACAAGTAATAAAACTTTATTTTAAAACTATTGTATCAGTGGGCACTGAAGCCCACGGTACAGTTACAGGTACTTTGTAACTGTACCGTGGTTTGCAATCTTGAAAGTGGGATTTCAGAGGCGTAGCGAGGGGGGGGGGCGGGGGGGTCGCACCCGGTGGCCCCATGTAGGGGGGTGACACCAAGGCAAAAAACAGTAAAATATATAGAGAAAAATTTGAGGGGGCTGGGGGGGGGGATAATTAAAAATTTGTTTTCCCGGGAAGGGTCGCTACGCCTCTGGGGGGTGACACCATTAAGTGCCGCACCGGGTGACACCCGACCTCACTACGCCACTGTGGGATTTCATCCCTCATATAAAGGTGAAATGTGTTTTGTTCTTATATTTCTGCAGGGATTTTTTTTTCGGTTGGATAAAGAAAACAGGCAGCAGACAATTCTTCCACCCAACACACTGAGTCAAATGTTCTCCAACACCAAAAGTATTTATCTGTTTCATCATGACTTTCTCCTGCCACAGTTGGAGGACAGGATGAAAAACTGGTGAGGATGCTACACATCAGTCTAGTTTTTATACTGCTGAAGTGTTGTTGTTTTTTTTAAAATCTTAATGTAGGTCTGCACATTATAGATTTATTCTTTTTTAACCAGTTTTGTTTCCTTATTGATTCCTAGTCAGTTCAGAATAAAACAACTGAATTATAGGTCTACTTATATTTAACTATACTTTTTGCTCATTTTTAGGGAAAAAGATCCAAGGATAGGTGATTTGATGAAAAAAAATGCACCTTTCTTGAAAATGTACACTGAATATATTCGCAACTTCGATCAAGCAATGAAATTGATTAATCAGTGGTTAGAGAAATCAACGAAATTTTCTGAAATAATTCAAGACATTCAGGTACTAGTCCTGCCTAAAGCAGTGCTTCTATTCAAGCAGTTATTTAAACTTAAATTTGGCAACAGTTCAGGTTTTTAAACTTCCTTCATTGTGTCATTTAATATATGACCTATTTAAGAGGATTGAAAACATGTAATAGTTAGTGCTTTTTAAAATGTTTTTGTTGAAAGACAATAGACTAGTTGAGTCAACTACTTAAAACTGCTTTTATAATTTTCCTGAAAAATACCCATTTTAAAGTTTTATTAATACTCTAATGACGTACAATTTAAATTGGGTTCTTTTAAACATTGATAAATCTTACTAGAAGGGAGATAACTATTGAAATATACTTGCTTGGCCAACTTAGAAAATTGGCAATTGGATTTTAGTTATATCCTGAAGGTTTTTAATTACATTTTCTATTCATCTTATAACAAACACATGTTTGTACTCAATTCCAGAAACTTCCAGAGTGTGGTAGTCTGTCATTACAACATCACATGATGGGTCCCATACAACGAGTGCCACGTTATGAACTGCTGTTAAAAGGTAGATAGGGGAACACAATCATTCTAGCTGGCTGCACATTATATTTTTGTATTTTCATACAAGATCGTTATCATCATTTAACATTAAGATTTAACCTACTGATTGCATATCATTGTTCAGACTCAGCATTTTTAAAAACTTAGATTTGAAAAAAAAAAAAATCCTGCTCATAAAAAATAATGTTGTCAACTTTGACTTTCAATATTTTTCTAATTTTAGGTGATAAGAAATAGTTGGCATTTCTTTAGCTTTTAATGCCTATGAATGAGAGTCTTTTTCTGCAAAAACAAATATTAGTAAGAGAACAAACAGTACAGCATACTAGATACTTATTTTGTCATATTAATTTTATAAAAAAATATAAAATAAGTACTAAGGTAATTTATTGACAAATTAACTTTTTTCTCAGAATATATCAAACATCTACCTGCAAATTCTCCTGATATGAATGATGCCAAAGGTAAAGTTTCAAAATTCTTTTTTTTAGGTGAAAAAATTTATGAAGAAAACCCAGCTTTAAATTTTTTAGTAAAATAACTATTTAAATGTATATTTCTATTCTCAGATGCCTTAGACCTAGTATCCAAAGCAGCTTCACACTCCAACGATGCCATGAAAAAAATTGTAAGTACTCAAGTTCAAAATTTCTTTAATTTCCAATGTAACACTTCATAAATGGACTTCTGGCTTTCAAATTAAAATAGTGCCTAGTGGAACAAAACTTAGGGAAAAGCTATGAGGATGTGTGTTCAATAAAACCTATTATTTCTTTTAAGAAATGTGAATACACTAAACTTTTGACATGTTTTTCAGGAAACATTCCATAAACTTCTAGACATTTACCAGAGCTTGAGAGGGGTACCTATAGATTTTATCTCCCCTACAAGAGAGTTTGTCACTCAAGGGCCAATTACTAAAATATCTGCTAGGAGTGGTGAGAGGCAGCCTAGGCAAATCTTCCTGGTGAGTTTTTGTTTATTAGTTTTAAATAATTATTTAAAAAGTATATATAAATATATAAGTAAATGTATGTGACGAGAGTGGGAAAGGGAGAATGTAGTTTCATCACACTTTTGCATTATGAAAAGTGATTTTCTCAAATTAACTTTTAAGTTATTTTGCATTTTTAAAGTTGTTTTTTTTTTTTTTGTAAAATGAATCAAATCAATTTATCAAAATTTGAAACAGCACAATGAAGTGTGTGGATAGAAATAGCATTTAAAACTAAAACAATTAAAGGGGGGGGGGGGGAAGTGGTTATGCTGAGGAATCATGTTATTGGTGGGTTGGGGATCTTAATTTATTAGTTCATATGTGAACAGGGGGTGGAGTGGGTAAGAAACATGTGGGGAAAATTTTCAGAATTTATTGAAGACTTACCACAATACTATTAATCGTTTTTAAGGTTTTGTATTATATTTTTGAGTTTGCGCTATTTCATTGCGATTTACTTGAAAACATTAGTTTCTTAACTTATTCTAACCAACAAAAAATGAAAAATATATTCTAATTTGTTAAAAATATGTTTAATCCCAAAAGCCTAGATGTATAAAATAGTAAAAAAAAACCCTGTTAAAATGTAAATGTTAAAATTGATTTATATGCCTATAACTTAAATTTTTGTTTATCTCTTGTTATTTAACTTGAAGGAACAATTGTAGCAATAATTTTCCTATTTTTAAACAGTTCAATGACCTGGTTTTAGTATGTACAGCCTACAACATCCTGGGAACCTTCAGTGTTAGATCATCTTTAGAAGTAGAGAGTCTCGAGGTAAGATTTCACATGCTGGTTCTTGAATCATTTATCTCTAAATTAAACTTTCACTGCAGCGATATTTCATGATTCATTTAAACTGAAATTTATTTTTAATAGTTATAAACTATTCCATTATTTCTTTTATTCGCAATTTATTAAAATTTACTTACTTTGGTTTCACAGGTCATGCCAGGGAACAATATGAACATTCCAAACACTTTCATGCTCCGCAGTAAACAGAAAGCTGTGGAGTTACTAGATGAGTATGTTGCCATTTTTAATCTTATGAAATGATTTAGGGTTTTTACATATATGTCATTTCAGAATTTATAAACACTGTTTTATATTCAAAATTGTATTAGTTTGTTTGAGAAGATGAATAAACAAAACTTAAATTTTCCATCTTTAACATGAATCAGTTGATTATAATATTTTATATTCTTTTATAAATCTAACAGAAATCCAGGTGGGGAAATCTTCGGATGGGAAATGGTAAATATTTAAAACTGTATTCTTTAATTAATAACCAGATAAATTCAAAGATGCACTCATATTTTTGCTATTTTTCAAATTTCAAGTTAAAAAATTATATTTTCTCAAACTAATTTTTATTTAAGTTTTGTGAAAGCTTAAGTTTTACCTTTTTTCAATTCTCAGAAAATTGAAGAAGTGATCACAAAATACAAAACAAGGGAGCGATGCATCAAACATGAAGAGGTGCAGAAGTATTCTCCTGAGATGAGTGTATGTGCATTTTTGTCTTAAAATTGTTGCAATACTAGTTTATACAGAAATATCTGACTGTACTATCAATGAAATTCATTTATTTTTTTAATAAATAGTTATAGAGTTGCAATTCAATTCAATTCAGTAGGGTATTAAACTTTATAATGCTGTTCACTGTTCTTTATTTAGTGTTTTAAATTAATCAATTTGTTTTGAATTGCATTAGAGTCAAAAAAAATTTATTTAAATTTTTGTATTAATTGATTTAATACAAATTTTTTTGGTCTAATTATTTATCACCTACTTTGTTTCATTGTTTATTTTTTTTTATTCCCATAAATTTTATCAACATTTGCGTATTAATTTCAAGGTGCCAGAGAGCTGCCTGGGTACCACAGCTCCCGTATGGATCCCAGATGATGCTGCCACAATGTGTATGCTATGTCAGATAACGTTCAATGTTGTACGCAGGCGACATCATTGCAGAAGTTGTGGCAAGGTGAGACATACTGTTCTTTTTCTTTTAGAACTTACTAGCTTTTTAGGCTGAAACTCATTTTATATTTAAAAAGTCATTGATTCTAAAATATAATCAGTTTTTTAACCAATAAGGCGCTAGAAATCTAATAGAGTTAATTTCTGGGACTGATGAAAAAGTACTAATATACATTTTTAAAAACAAACACAGATTGTGTACCCTAAAATTTTCTCTGTGTTAGTAAAACAGCTGTGCCTGCTGCATTGATCACACTATTATGTTTTATATCTTTCAGTTGATTTGTAAGTCTTGTTGTAAAAAAGCTCCACTGGAGTACAAAAAAGGAAAAATTGAGCGTGTCTGCGCTGCATGCTATGACGTCATTGTCAACAAAAGAGGGAAGTCAGAGAGTGACCACAGTCCTAAGAAAAAAGGTATTTTACAGGTGAGTTCAGTGTGATGTTGTTCTTGAGGTGAGATTAAGAATTTGTTAATTAATGTTCCAAATCATTCTAAGTGTTCTTTTGGGAGTCATCATGTATTTGTCTGATTATTTTTGTCCTTTTTATTTTTTAAAACCTGTTAATTTTACTTAGGTGATTGTCTTGTTTAAAATTTTTATTTAATTGCCACATAATTTTGTTTTTGATGTCAGTTTGTATCTGTTCTCACATGTGGAATATTTGATCAAAGGGCAGATTAACAACTTAATTTTTCCATTGAGTTATTTTTTTTTAACTTCCTTTATAAAATCTTACTTGGAGCTCGTTATTAAAATTATAAGTTTTCAAAATTCTTCCCAAACGAATTAAAGAATTTTCGTGTGTTGGCCAGGTGAAAGCAAGTGAGCGTGGCCTAATATCAGGATACCTGATGTACAGTGAGGATTGTCACACCTGGCAGAAACTCTGGGTCACAGCACACAAGGAGTTTGTCCTATACACATTCAGGGCTCATGAGGTGTGTGTTTTCTTGTTAGTTTAGTGCTGAGGTTAATCATGCATGTGTGTTCTTGTTTGTTTAGGTTATTTTGGTGCAGAGGCAGAAAATATGTAGCAAGTTGATCTTGTTTTAAATCAAATATACAAATTTGTTTTAGTTCATAAATTATCATGTGAAGTGAAAAAAAAAGTATTTGTTCAGCTATTTATTAATAATTTTACGAGTATAAATTATTTAATGAAGTTTGTGGGCTTTAAATTTTAATTCCATATTTTGTGTTTACCACATCTATTCTGGAATTCACACTCAGTTTTCACACTCTCATCTACATGGCTTTCTTTAAATTAATGTTTACTCTTTTTTTTTTTTTTCAATTTTCTCAAAAATGTAACTGTGTTGAAGACATCTTTTGAATACATGGTTGGGTGATAGAGGGCTCAGCTTCTGACCAGAATACTTGACTATGCATCTCGCACTTGTTTGTAGGATGGTCCTGAGTTGCCCCCCCCCCCCCCCCCTCCAACTATGATGAGTACTTGACTCAACATTAGGGAAAGTAAAGGCAACTGGGCATAGTGCTGGCCATACCATTCATTCATATAGAAATAAACAAACCCTAACATCAGGCTTGAAATGAGATACTTTTTAAGACAATTTACATAACGTTTATTTTATTTTTTTCTCCCCTGTTTATGTAGGATGTAAGTGCCATCAGCTCTCTACCTCTACCTGGCCACATTGTTGAACCTGTCAGAAACATTGAGGGCAAGCACCATGTCTTCTCATTGACTCACAAAAACAAGAGGGTTTGTTTGTACCAGGCTGAAAGTGAGAAACACATGAAAAGGTAAATTACTAAACTGTTGTTTCTTTGTTTTTTTCTTTGATTTGTTAGCTTTAAAACTACGGGATTCAAATTAGTAATTAAGTTTATTTTTTTTACATTGAAGCTTAGCCAAACAATTTGGGTTAAATATAAGCTACTATTGACAAAAAGAAAGGAAGTTTTTAAAAAATTGTTATCTTTAAAGCTATGGGATTCAAGTTGGTAATTTATTTATTTTTTTACTCAAGCTGTAACAATAGGTTAAGGACAAATTTATTGCTATTATAATAATTTATATAATTATTATTATTACTATTATAATTATTGTTGTTGTTATTATTATTTTTATAATTACTATTATTATTTCCTAGACAGGAAGTAAAAACAAATTGTATTTATTCTGTAGATGGGTGGCAATTTTAAAGAAACTTGCCAATGCTGAGTTGCCTGAAGAGAATGCCAGGTTTTCATCAGTCTCCAACAGCAGCAATGCCTCGTCGGCATCCGATGGTGCAGCCAACAATAGCAGCAGCACAGACAACAACAACCGCCACAGCACGCACTCGGGGAGCCAGGCAGACTCTGGTTACCCTGGTGACAGCAACAACAGCCTGTCCGCACTGGCCGTGGACACTGACATGGAGAACCTGGACGGGATCAGTCAATATGACAACGTTGATGCTGGGGTCAGTGATTGATCCCTGTATGGACGGGATCAGTCAATATAACAATGTAGATGCTGGGGTCAGTGTATCATTTCTTAGTTGTGACAACATTACAATAAATTATGAGGGTCTGGGGTTGAATATTTCTTAACTGCTGGTGTTAAGCATAATATAATATTCTTTAGCTAAATAAAACAAAATTTGTTAGTCTGCTATAAAACATCTATGCAATGATTCACATAAACTGAAATCTAATTTTCAGTAGCTAGCACCTATATTAATTTAGTTTGAATTTTCCTGGTCTAATTCCAAGGAATTTTTCAGCATAATATTAGTTAAGTATTATATCTGTCTGTAGTCAAAGGTTGTTTCTTGGAAACATACGTTTCAATTTGTAGAGAAAAAAAAATGAAAATTAACAAGCAGATATTTTGATTTTGAAGATTTTAAATATATTTACTTCTGCAATGATATAACTTTTCCTTTTTTTTAGGGAATATTATTTTCAATTTAACAAACTGATAGCAGTTTTTATATACTGAGTACTTACTTGATACTTTTAGTTTACACTTAAAATACCTTATAATGTTTTGAAAATGTGGCTTTAAACTGTTTTCAACAAAGAAACAACTTTTTTTTTTATAGGTGGTCATTCAATCTCTGTGTAATTAGGGATTTTAAATTTCACCTATATAAATATTAATTTCTTTCTTCAGAGGCGAAAGAAAAAATTTATTTTCTTTTAACTTTTGTAATATAATGTTAAGTTTGTTTTCTAAAAACAATTTTACTGCAATGAAAATTATTAAATTCTGTTTAAAAGATTGTACATATAGATTTATATATTATGGCACAAAATTTCATAAGTATTTAAAATAAAATTGCAACTATTTATTAAAATCAATATATTTTACCCTAAACTTCATTTTGCACCAATTTATTTCACAGAAAATATGTTGTTTACTGTACATTTTTTCCTGTAGAATTTTTATTTTGCCAAGCTGTCTGTTCAACTGGTTTGTTCCGGGCACAAATACATATGTATAGCACACACATTATATTGTATACATACATATATAAAACACACATTATGTTACTGTTTAGTTTTGTGCAATATGTTAAATAAGTGTTTTAAGGTACTTTTAAGAAATCTCACTTTTACAATCTCATAAATATCATGGCTTTAACTTGTTTTTACATGTTCAAAATGTTTGATTTTTAGGTGTGCTACAAATGGAATTAAAATAAGATGATAAAATTATGAGGATTGTTTTGGTATAAACATAATAGACATAAAGAAGAAGAATTAAGCTATTGGTTAGTAATCTATAGACTTTTGTGGTATGTAATTATAAAAATAACATTTTTTTTCAGTTATTTTGCTTTTATTTAGAAATGCAAGGTCACATTAATTTCATTACTTTAATACTTTAATTGTTATTGCATTGTTAATTTTCATACTTAGTTTTTTTCTGTAAGAACTTAATTGTTGAGATTTATATAACATAGGATTTTCTAACCTGAGATTAAGTCACCTGATTATAATCTTAAAACTTGCTAGGCTTCTGTACTGACCAATAATCCCCTTTGGAGTTGTTTTATACTTTCAATTATTTAATTGTTTAACATTGAATTATTAAAAAGTGTTAAGAAAAGAAAAATTTGTAAAAATAATTTTAGATTCTGATGAAGTCCAAATATTTCCTACACAATACCCATCAGATCTTCTGTGATTAACAATTTGCTTTATTTATTTATTTATTTACATGCCAACCATAGCTACTCTGATTGTTTTCATGAAATGATTATCAGTTCTTGCTGTGGTGGATGTAAAAATATCTGGATATAGATTCTCAACAGTATTGTGTAATTAGCTAATTTCATTTTTGTATCAAGTACTTAGATGTTTTATTCAAGTATTAACTACGGTGTGAATATTGATTAGATAAAAACTAGTCAATAGGCTGTTGTTGTTGTTTTTTTTTTTTTTGTGTATTATAATGTACAAAGCAACAATGTATAAAAAATTTTAAGCAAAGTAATATTTATGATTTTTAATAAGAATTGTATTATTTGCCTTAAAAATTTTGTCTTTTAATTAATGTACCATGTGAAGGAATGTATTAATAGATTATTTTATTTGAAATACATGCTGTTGTAAGGAAAATAAATTTGAGCAATTTAAATGTCTGTCTATCTTGTATTTTTGTTAAAATTTGTGCTCCTGTGGATACCAGTCATCCAGCAGTACAGAAATATTGCTGTAGTTCAGCAATCAGTAGGCCTACTATTAGTGCTCATTGTAATGTAATAGTTAGTGAAAGCACATGTTTAGAGGTACTTGTTCAGCATTGATTGTTCTAGTTTAGTACTCAGTGATTCAGTACAGTAGTGAATTCAAAGCTTTATGCTCGGTATGCTAGTTGAGTAACTAGTACATCCAGTATACTAGTTGATTAACTAGTACATCTACTCACTGTGGTTCAGTACTGAATATATGAGCTATACTTAATACTAGTTATGTACTTAATGTATAGTCTTAGTGTATGAGTACACTATTTTATATGTAGGATATAACGACATAACCAACTCTACTTTGAACACTTTTACTAATTTAGATCAAATTAAATAATCAAGATCAACTATTTAGGCCTAGTTTAAAACCAGCATGAAGTTTGATGCTACTTGCAATACCTGAAAGGTGAGGATACACTGTTATGGCTGTAGCATATTAGAGCTGTTGGTTCATCATTTGCTCTAGTCTGTCATGCAGCCACATAATGTGTTAATAATCAGAATTTGTTTTGTGGATGTTTAATTGGGTGTAAAAATTGAATAATTATTAAAAAAATATTGAGAAAGATTCTACAGCCAAGTCTGTCTATGGAAATGCTTAGCAATATAAAACAATCTTTAACAAATTTAATTTAAATCATTTCACTGGAAAGAAGAGTTCCATTATTAAGTTTGTTATTATCCTAGATTTGTGAATGTATTGTTAATCCTATTGCTCAGTTTACATTGTTGATTGTTGTTACCTCCCCTAGTTTTAATCCAAAAAGTTGACTGAAGAAATATTTGTAGGATTTATTTTTAAATTTAATTTATTTATAGATGTGGGTTTTTAAGTCAATAAATCCACAGACTTGTCATCTTAGAAGATCGCTTAGAAATTTAGTTAAATTAGTCTCAATTAATTTGTTACATCCTTAAATAAACACTTCCCAATGTTATATTAGCAAAGCACCAAACAATATAAGATGATAGAAATTGATTTTGTTAATTTTGTCTATTGAATATATTTTTAAAACTAATGCAACTGTCATTTTCTTAAAGATTCACTTAAAGTGTACAGTTATATTGTGTGTCAAAATCAAACTAAATGGAAATTTAGACCATAGTTGGTAGGTTCAATGTCTAGATAGTTTACATGTTGTGGACGTCTCTAGAAAGATATTGCGGATAGAACAGCACAAGATGCAAAAAACCAGCAGGTCATTTTTGTATATACTGCCCAGCTGATTAAAGTACATTTTCTATTAATATTGTATTATTATTATTAGATTTTAATGTGAATACAAATTTTGATACATTTTATAATAAAAATCTGTACTGAATTATTTTTATGTTCAATAATTTTTTTTATCATAATAATTAAAAACTGTATTAAATAACATTTAACTTTACAGAGATAATCATTGCAAGGACACTATGGAAACAATATTTCTTAATTTTCTAATTATCTTTTCTATTAATGTTTTGTTGGTTTTATCACACACAAAAAAAAAACAAAAAAATAAAATCAAAATGAAATAATTTTTAAGTAACAACAGGGTAACTCTGCGACTGTTTCTTCAAACTTAATTTTTATTAAAAATAAATGTTTTATAATGGAAACACAAAGTGGATCATTTAAAAAAAGAACAGTCAATGTAATACATTGCCGGAAAAGGATGTGTACAACAGAGTCTAACCACATGGTTATGATGAGTTGTGATGCATGAGTGGACAAAACTTAAAAAGTTATATTTAGAAACCATGGAAACACACAGACGACTTGAATGAAGAAATGATTATACACAGAGTTCACTGGTTTTAAAATTGTTCACATTATCAGATCTGTATTCCAGCTTACGTTTGATGCTATAGCAAAAAAAAAAAATTTTTTTTTTTTACCAAACTATAAAAACCATTAACATTTTCATTCACAAAACTAAACATGTCATGCTGTGGGTAATACAATAAGTAATACATAACTGTAATTCTTTACTCAACAACACCAAAATGGGAAAAATAACTCTATCACCAGTGAACTAGCGTAGCCTAGTGGAATGGTGAGGGTCCAAACATTGCCCCTCTTCTTCCTTTAAATTCACACTCACAGTAGAAATTTAATTTTTTTTTATTGTATTTTTTTTTACAATTATTTTTTGTTTTGCTTGGACCATAAATAACTGACAAAAAAAAAAAAAACAACTAAAATTTTTTGTTTAACATTAGTATATTAAAATAACAAAAGAAATAATTTTCACAGTGTAAAGTGATGAATGTACAAAGACAACAAATTGATAAATTAATAGAATAAATAAGAAAAATACACATTGGGCTTGTGTTTGGATATATTACTAATCGAGACAAAACTTTTTTTGTTTTGTGCAAAGCAAATTAAAGAATAAAAAAAAATAAATAGAAGGATAAAGCTGAAACCTACAGGTTCAAATGTGTTACAGTATGTACAAGCAGACATCTAATGGCAGTGGTGACAAATATTGCACATTTATAAGACTTACAGGATTTCATTTGAATCACAATTTTAGACGTAGTCATTTTTAAAAAAAACATAGGTAAGGGAGGTGACTCTTGACTTGATTGTTGTTTTTTTAATTCACTTTGACATTACATTAAAATAACTACTTAAATATTATAAAAAGGGTTTCTTAACACAAAAATAATTGAAATTATCCTGCATTTAAACACTGATATAAAACTCAACATATTATATTAACATTGCCAGTATCAGAAAAAATAATGACACTGAGTTAGTTAATTAATTAATTAATTAATACAACAGATGTACTAGTTTGACCTAAGTTTACATCATTCACTAAAATCAATGAGGCCAAAAACACTTTAATACCAGCTAGTTTAAAAAAAAACAGACCACCTTTTAGCTATCATGATATAAACCCTCTTTGGAAAACAACATTTTGTTTAGCAAAAAATCTGCTGTTTTTACACAAAACTTTATTTCCTTTGAGTATAACATTGGTAAAACTTACAAATAAACTATTACTATTTTTTTAAAAGACAGTGAGTATAGCCACAACTAATAAATTAGTTAAAAAGAGTATATGATAAATACAGCTATAGCAGTTCCCAGCAGTTAAAACAACACTGAGAAAAAAAATGTGGGTAACATATCTGAGACACCTAGAATAAAAGCCGTATATACCAGGGCAATGATTTGACTAGATGAGGTGGGAACATGAACACAAAAAACATGCTGAATTAATTCATAACACTGCTACTGTTGATGCTAGTGTTTACTTAACATTATTGTTGAATTCTCCAATCAACACTGCTGAATAGTTTAATCAAAACTACTGTTGAATACTCTAATCAAAACTAATATTGAATACTAATCAACACAACTGTTTAATATTTCCTTGCACAACTTAGAATAATTCTTACTTAGCAAATATAAAGCCATGTAAAAATACCAAAATCAATATTTTAAAATTACTAATAAAATTAAAATCTAAAAAATAAAAAGATTTTGTTTTTTGATTTATATCTATTACAACTGTAAATTTTTTTCTAATATATTTTTTAGAAAATGTTAATATCAACCGCATATATAATATATAAAGAGTAAGAATTCCTGAAAAAAAAAGTCTTACAATCAACTAAGAGTATTAAATTCCAATAAAATTAGAACTGAACATGCTTACAAACAGGCTTATAAGTGTATAATAGTTTGTCAAACACCAATTCTAGCCACTAAAACAAGCAAGCCGTAACAAACAACTAAAGTAACAAACATTCTCTTGAATACCAAAGCATGAGTTCAAACCATGGAGCAACATGAGATGAACCAAAGCCAGTGGTATGAGAGCGTGAGGGTCTACTACACAGCCAACAACTGAAAACTAGAGAAAGCACCATCTGTAAGGGTTGATGAGATGTGTAAACAAACGTCATATCTATGTAAGCATTGACAATGTAAGGATGATGAACTTCATGACTTTTATAAGGGTGACTGATGGGTTATGGGTGATAAAAAAAACTGAGACACGCAGCATCAAAAACTGACCATACACACAAATTAAAGCTTCTACTTAATGCACATTAGATCTAAGTTTGCAGCTTCCCGCTATGATTTAGCTTACTGTGGCTTCTTGTATTGCATCCTACCAGATGTGTTCTAGTGGATCAAGCAGAGAATTATATCTGTTCATCACAAGACATGATCACTGCTGGCAATAACAGAACACTCGCACAAGTCTTTTATCAACCAACATGTAGCCTGACGTTCATTCAATGAAAAATAAAACCACTGACTCACTCCATGACACAATCTTCAATGACATTACACAATCATCCATCAACAATGTGTGACATGACACTCTCATCCATCAACAGTCTTTGAAATGACAAATATACATCTCCAATCATTGAATAGATACATCATCCATCAACTGTCCGTGACACAACAACATCAATAACAATCACCCCCATTTAATTCATGCAACTAAAATATTTGAATACACTGGAATGACCACACAATATTTAGAGAAACCAGTTAAGTTTGCTGCTGAATATGAAATTAAAAAAAAAAAATACCCAGAACAGACTGAGACAGACCTGTCCGTTAACTTCCATTCCTCAAGTTAATAAGGTCATGTAAACAAAAGATCCCTACACTAAACACAGCTGAATGTTGTGAGATCTTCCCCTAATGAGAAGCTTGATAACAATCCAGTAGGCAACTTTCCCCTAATGAGAAGCTACGACAACAACCCAATAGGCAACTTTCCCCTAATGAGAAGCTTGATAACAACCCAATAGGCAACTTTCCCCTAATGAGAAGCTTGATAACAATCCAGTAGGCAACTTTCCCCTAATGAGCAGCTAGACAACAACTCGGGAGGCAACTTTCCCCTAATGAGAAGCTAGGACAGCAGGCAACATTGTGCTCAGGTTGTGAAACAGGCATCCACCACTTATCAATCAAACAGTGAGTAAAACAAAAAAATTTCTTACAATACTAAGGGGGGGTTACACTTAAGGCAGCATGTTGCAAGTATTCTCCTCCAAAAACTTTATTTTTTCCATCTCAATTAAGCTGTGGTGATCTTTTGTTTTAATTAAATGAATTTATAACAATGCAGCATTTTAGTCAAAGAGAGGGTGGTAAGCATGACTGTGACATTTAAAAAATGTGCTGGTAACACAACAAATCATGCATACCTTTGTTCATCAGCTACCACAGATAGTTCATTAACTACTACAAAATATAACCAACCATCAAAAAACCTAACCATTCCAATGTTGTTGTTTTTTTACAAAAAAAAAATCATGCAATTATAACAGGATTTTCTTGAAATAATCCACAATGAGAATGATATCTATTAATAGAACAAAGTGAAGTATGGCTTAAGTACTCTTTGAATGGAAAGATGAGTCCCGCTTGAGAAAATGACTAGAAATAAAGCACAAAGCTTCGAGTAGTTGATGCATGGGCTGGTCCACCCATTGACTTAAGCATGAATAAATAGCACATCACAACCAAAGCTAAGATACTCATATAAATACCAAACACAGATGCTCAAATTGTACAAGATGTGTACAAGGAAAATAAAACAAGATGTACAGCAGTCTGTGTACTATACAAATGAGACTCAAGTACTATGTAATGCGTCAATTACAACAGAGAAAAAAATATTGAGATTCTTAAAAAGTATATCAGTTTACAAGAACAACTTATTTTTTTCTTCCATTTTTTTATGCTAAGTTGAAAAAAAAAAGTCCGACTACCCGTTTGGTGAATCCTTGATGGGATTAAGTGAGTGCAACACTCACCTAGATAAAATGCTAGCGAGATTTGATCACACAGAATGCAGCTAAATTAGTTTCAAAACTCTGCTCTATGAAACAAGCCATTTATCACAAAATATTTGGAACTTGAAAAATCTTAGAAAGTTCAAATTTCAATGTTAAACTATAGACGATGCATTTGTCCCTTCGTTTCCTTTCTCCCCGCGCCCGTACTGGCCAATGAATGAGCCATCTTCATTGAACTTGCTGCCATCGTCGTCTCCATAGTCTAAGCTGTCTGTGTCCTCATCCAACGGGACCTTCTCTGCATCACGGTCAAAGGAGCTGCTTCCTCCAATACCATTTTCATCACTGTAGATAAAAATGTAACAATACAAGGGTGAATCTATTTTTTTTATTTTAAGCAGAGACAGGATCTAGAAGGATTTATTTAAGATGGCCGCCATCACCAAATTTTAGGCAATTTTTTAAATTTTAGACTTAACTCTTTGAGTCATAATTATATCTAAATATTATAGCATTTGGTTTAGAAAAAGCATTTTGGTTATTTTGGTTTTCATCACCTGCCCATGCCCTTAAAAAAGATTTTTTTTTTTGCAAAGTTAACTCCTTTTTGTCCTTGAATATCCACTAAAAGTATAAAGGTCTTTGCTATTTACTACCTCTTATTTAATAAAACTTATAATTAGTTTTATCTTATAGAAGTCCTTATTTTAAATTATAGTTACTACATTTTGTAACAGTATTGTGTGGCTAAAGGGTGGTTGTTAATAAATATCATAAACGTGGTCTCAGAAGTTTTACACAAGAACTTTTACACCAGGTGATCCATTAGGCTTGTTGAAATCATAATGTAGCAAATTGATATTTAAACATAACTACTCAAGTAAATTCAAAGAACTGAAACTTATTAAACAGAAGGTTACAATTTAGTTACTAATTAATTTTTTAAATTTAATTCTATGATGATATAAAATAAACTATAAAATCAAAATCAATTTAAAACACCACTTTTTCATAAATGTTTTTTTTTTTTAATTTAAAAATGCAGTAGTTGGGTAATTAGGCTAAAAAAAAACTTAGAACATTGACAGATTTAGCTTAAAGAGTAGTAATAAACAGAAATTATTGTTTCTTTACCCTTTTCCAAATTCATTGAAATGGTCTTGATTCTCATCATTATAGTTGCCTCGAAGTCTTTCTTTTTCTTGAACTGTAAAGTGACAGATACATGTATTAGAAAGGAAGAGGGGGGTGGTTATGGCACACAAAGAGAAAAACACAAAATTTTCACTTGCTAGCACTAAGAAATAGAATTAACAGAAGAGGTGACGATCTGTGGGGCAGGAGATGCTGGATAGAATTAGGGGGTAAAGAAATTTAGTCCAATGAAGTTTTTTTGGCAACATTTGACCACTGCACTACACCACACTAGAGGAGTCAAAAGGAATAAGAAGAAGAAGAAAAATAATTCATAAAAAATGTTTAAATAACAAGCTTTTATGTAATAATTCATTACAAAGGAAAAATATAAATGATTTTCTGTAAATATGTAATAATGAACAACCATTTAAATAAAGAAAAGTGAAGGGTGCTATTTTATGTACTGAATACCTTTACTAGAAATTAAAAAGTGACCAATGCTTTTTTTTTAGTTATTTGAAGAGTAGTTTATTATTATATATTTAAAGAAAATCATTTATTTTTTCTATTTTAGTGCATTATTACATAAAAGCTTGTTATTATAACATTTTTTATGAATTTTTAAAAAATACTTTAAAATATTTAATACAACAGAATTGCATGACTAAAAACAATTGTGCACAAAGTCAACAGGAAATAATGTGCGCATAATTGTGCAGTAAATGGTATTTCATATAGGAAATTTTAATGAATTGTTTACACATTAATTAAGCATCCAATCAAGACAAATTTGATGCCTGGTGCCAGGTTTCAGAGAGATTGTTCAATCCATGACAAAAAACAGACAGGAAGCAAGATATATAAGATATTGTAAACAATAAGGAATAACAGCTAGATCTATGGCCAACCGGAGCAAATGTATTTAATTAAAAGCAGTGAGCTATAATGAAATGGTAGTGATAAAAACAGGTAGTTTTAGTAACCTAACATATTAAACACAATTACAAGTACAGTAACCCTTGTGACATACAGACTTCATCAGCACACTACAGTGTGGTTAAAAACAAAACAAAAAGACTAAACATTCTACCCAATGGTATCCTGGCCTTTAGACAGCTATCTCATGTAAAAATGTTCTTACCAGGATAGTTATCTCCCCTGTTTCGTTTGATAATACACACAATGATGAGGATGAGGATGAGTATAGCAATGGCCACCATCATGCCAATAAACCAGGCTGCTGTCAAGAAACTGGCCCTGGCTGCACCTGTTGAAGAAAAGAAAATCTTCACTTTCACTCAACAGTGTTCCACATAGGTAGCCACACATACCTTAGATCAAATATGATTGAAATATACTGTTAAAAATTTTATTTAACTGTTTTGATGTAGCAAATACATCATTTGATCCTTACATTTGTTTCTCCAAAAAAAAAATGGAATTCAGGGGAGGGTGCATTATGATAAAAAAGTAGCCCATAGTATTGCATGTCGGTTATCAGGAACATATGCCTTATGTCTCTCTATAATCCTAAGTAAATCCACCCCTGTAGTACACTAAGCAGTTTGGATGTACATAAGCCTTACGTCTCTATATAAAGCTAAGTAAAGCCACCCCTTGTACTATGTTAAGCAGTTTGGATGCACATGGAAAGTAGAGACTCAAACGCAAGCTTGTTTTAGTGACCAAACACTACTCACACAGAGAACACATACAGCAATCCATAGCCCAGTATAGTAAAGTAGAACATAAGATAAGGTTGGGGGGGGGGAGGAAGAGTAGAGGAGAGAGGAGTCAAAACTAATTGATATCATCATGGCATTAGGTCTACTGAAAATATAGACAACACCAAGTAGTGTCATTTCCTTAGTCATGGTGTCATATTCATTGTGATGTCATTTGATACCTATGGTAAAGTCATATACTGAGTGTTAGTGTCATGTTTGTTATGATGTTATATAACTAGTTGTAATGTCATGTTCATAATGATGATTTCATGTACTTAGTGAAATTCATAAAGGTAATTTCATGTATATGATGGAAATAAACTTTAAATCCCACCAAAAACGACAGAGAATTGGTGACCTAAGTATTTCAAAATTCATCAACTTCTGCCTTCCACAACAAGCCTACATTTTTTTTTAGTGTTTTAAAATTTGTTAACATTCCTACTGAGTGAAAAAAAAAAACCCATGCAAATTTTTCTTGAAGCCAATCATCAACCAACAAGACAATGAGAAAAGCTGTGTTGTACCATGCCTGTTAGAGCTGCGTGGTACACTTGAGCCTAGCACTACAACTGTTTTAGTAGGTCAGCTATATTTAGCTTGGGCACATTGGAGGTTCCCATGCCAGACTGGTATTTGCTTCCTCCTATTGTCAAAGTCATGAAATCCTGTAAATCTAAACCTACACACCCTTCACCCCTCCAGATTTATGTCGTAGGCAGAGCCAAAAAAAGAAATGTTTTCTAAAAATTAATTATTGTCTTCATTTATATTAGCCTGTCAGAAATTATTTTAAACGTTTTTTTTTAAATTGTGGATTTTTTTTAATGTGAAAATAATTTGAAAATTAAATAAAAATACTGTCTGCTTTACTTCATTAAATTGTACTAAATTAGGCCTATTGTTAAATTCTATGCATAAATTCATTTTAAAAATTAGTTTTCATTCTATTAAATCTACCGGGAACCTCCAAATCCTTTTGTTAAATCTAGGGTAGTTAACTCATAATGCCAGGACAATATGTAAACCTGCTAGAGTTGGTTCCTCTTTACCATCTGAATTAGTTGTAACATTGGATGAACGTGTGAGGGCCATGGCTAGTAAACCTAATTAAGGATAATGTCATTGTAAAAAAAATAATTTTCACATGTTAAACACAGTAACCAGAAGGTCAGAGGATTAGCTACAAAAAACTAGAAAAAAATGTGAACTATGTTTTTTAATAAAAATAGTTTTAAAAACTTGTACTAAGTAATAGATCTAATATAGACACTTTATTATCTGGTCATAACCCATCAACAGGGAGGGCAGGAGAGGGGGGGGGTGATTCTGAATTGTGATAATATGGTGGAGGTCAAGTTTATTATTCACACGTAGAACTATATTTTTTTGTAAATGACAGAAAGGGTTTGTTTTCATTATGGTAAAATTATGGGCAGGGGGAGGGACAGCTTGGTGAATTTACTTGAGGTGGGTAATGGTGTTCTGTGATGAAATTTTATATGGGGGAGAGTTGAGGTAGTTAGAAATCAATCAAGTGTAATTGTGTGAAGTGATGCCTTGACAACCCCTGTGTACACAATCTGATGGTAACATTTGGTCTGGATTTTAATTTGCACATATCAAGCTAGTTATCATTGTTCATGTTTAAGCACTCTACAAACTGGTTAAGCAATTTTGAAATGTATGACTGTGAGATAATAATTTTACTGTGATTTAGTTACCTAAGGTTTTATGATTTTAAATTTCTTTTACACAATTTATTTCTAATTTTTAAAAAATTAAATTTTACATTGCCAAGTAAATAAAAAATGAATTAAAAAAACAGCAATTACATTATCAGAACCCACAGCAAATTTTAGTTTCTCAAATTATTTAAAATATTTCACAATGAAATTCCACGGCAAGAAAAAATGTTTGAGTATTTAATTAGCAATGAATGAATAAAATCATCTATCACAATATCAAATACACTACTTCATATATCAATATGTGCATAACAAAAACGTATATACAATAAATGAATATTATTTATTTAATAACTCTAAAATGGGTAAAAATAATGTAAAAAAAATCTATTTTATTATTCAGTTTTCACGACATGAAATTTTTTTTTTACAGTATTACTTTGGAATGAAAAAAAAACTAACACCATTAATCTAAATTATCCTTCAGCCATTGGCTGGAGAAGACTGAATCAACTCTTACCATAGCCTGCAGTAATGAATCCAAATGGCTCACTCGGCTGTGAGCCTTCATCCCCGTTCTTTGTTGCCACGGCAACGACCCTAACTTGATAATCAGTGCCTGGTTCTAGATGCTTCAACATCCCCCAGAGCTGGTCCTCCACTGGTTCACCCTGTCGCTCCCAGTCCTTAGAATCTGAGGACAAAAGTCATTTTTATAAGGTGAGAAATACATTTTTAAGGAACTGGTTTTGTGAGAAAAATGACAACCTTCCTTGTGCTAGAAACTTAGAAAACTTCTCATGCAAGATGCTCTACCTGTTCATCATTTAATTAAAATCATCTTGGAATTTATTAAAAATAATCACTACATTCTAATATTTACTGATACTTATGAAATCAACACTTTAGCTATATGTATATTAATGCCATGATACAAGTTCAGATATTATTATTACTTTATTATTAAAATTCATTCTTTATTTACATATTTATTTGAATCATCAATAAAAAAAATTTTTTAACCATATCTTTCAAAAAGTTTCTAATATATTATTTCATTTACATGGTAATCTTTTAATGCATCAGTTACAATACCCTTTTTTTAATGTCACAGGAAGAATGCCACTTGGCCATAAATGCAACAAAGCAGGCACTCACTTTTTTTCTTAATCTCAATATAGTAGAACTGTCCATGTCTGTCTCCAGCGCTGGACTTGTTGACTGCCCAGGTGATGTTGGCCTCATTTTCACCTGCATTTGCAAAGGTGATTTTTGGCAGGGCAATGGCTGTGGGAGAAATAAAAACAGAATGTTGGATTAAACAGTAAACAATAGGGGATCATCTCCCTTTGCTCTCTTTACTTCTCTCAGCTAAAGGTTATCTCCCTTTGCTCATGCTGGTGTTGTACTGGTTTAAGCCTTTCTAATACATGAAGTGGACATAACATTAAGATGGTGATTGAAATTTGTTGTTGACCCAAAACATTGTAGGGGAGTGAGTGATAACTAGCCAACAGGTTCTCAGTCTCTAAAGATTTGTCCCACCGGTAATGACTTGAGTATACTCAGCATTACTTTTTTTTTAAATCGAGTATATGCCGGCTCTCAAACATCTTTTCTAGTTTGAATCCATAAATAGAGAGTCACTGAGTCCACACAGCTCTTCTGGGTACCTAACCAGATTTCGGCATCTGAGTAGGCCTATACATGTTTTAAAAAGACTACTTCATCTGCCTAGTGTTTTATTTCTTTTCTTCTTTATTCCTCTGGGGGCTCATATAGAGCAAATGGCTGCAGCCTCACCTCTTTACCTGACTTGTTATAGGGCAGTCTTCTTTATTTGTGCAATGATAAGCCCCAAAGCCCTGTTTTATTTGTTGGATCAAAAATATAAAAATATAAAATCCCTTTTAAAGAAATACTAAAAAATGACTCACGTAGTTGTACAGATGTTGTCCTAACGTCTATGTAATACTCCTTTCCGACTCCTAAGACAGTTTTAGCACTGATGAATATCCTGTACTGTGTAGCAGGCTGGAGATTGTTGAGAGTGGCTCTGGTGTCATTGGGACTGAGATTATCATAGACCACAACCCTCTCACCAAAGTCTAATCTGCTGACTGAAATATTTCATACATTGTAATAGAGCATTTAGTAAACAGATTTTTTTGTTGATTTGCTTCATCTTAAATAAAAAATTAAATGAAAATTCAACTGTAAAAAGTAAAATATTGTTTATGAGTTTACTATTCATAGTAAACCCAATAATTTTTTTTCCATGAAGCAAGGGTATGGCTTGCCTTTATAATGATGGTATATATTTTTTTATCATGACCAACTGGAGCAGATAATTAGTAATTAGTGCCAAATTTTGATATTTAAAAAATGACACCCAAAGTAGCCTAACTACCTGTTTAAATATTTGGCAAAAATCTTCTGCTTTGTAGTAATTAAGCAAAGCTTTACACATATTTTGTTGAGGATTCAATTTATTTTGAATACATTTTTAGATTAGAAGCTTGTATAATTATTTAGTGTAATGTTTTCAATTTTAATTCGACTGATTTTTAGATGTTATCAAGTAGTTGGAGTTGAAGACGCGCCTGCTGATTAGGGTCAATTAGTTATTTAGTAGGAGTGTGAAAATGAAAAAAAAATCTACATGAGATGGAAGAAGAGAAGGGACAGTGTTATGAAGGAAAAGAATAAAGATTTTAATGAACTAACATGAGAATTAGTATACTTGTTATATCAATGAAAGTAAGGAGATAGCTTTTTTTAAGGAAATGCAATATATGCGTTGTGCTTTACATATTTGGATTTTACAATCAGCTCCTAAAAATAAGATTCTTTAAAACACAAATTACTGCACACTCCCTGTTCTGTTTTCTCAAACTTAAGTGGACTATCAACATTTGTTAAGTAGCTTCAGTCAAATTACTTTCATTTGAAGCAATCCAGAGATATTTTATTAGTAAATACAAATTAAAACCCAATTAGTAAAAATTGTTAATGAAAAATGTCACTCTAGTTAGCTAATGAAATTTTTTGCTATATTGTTTAAGAAGTTGTTAATTTAATAAGATGCTGATGAAACCAATACGCCCCCTCCTTTTTATTAAATAAAAAAATGATTTTTTTTAGCAATGAAGACATTGCTAGAAAGTTAAAGGATTAATTTTGTATCATGATTTTAAGTTATCCATTCCTTTTTATTATGTTAAAATCCAGCAATGTTGACAACATTGTTGCATTGGTAGTTAATCAGATTATATGAAAAATAGAATTATAGTAGAGTATACCCGAGGTAAAAATAAACATTTTAAAATGTGATGAAGATTAGGTCAGCACAGTTAATGCTACTTTGAAAACAATATTGTTAGAGCAGTGATTAAGAGAGGGTAAGGAATTGTTTTTATTTACCTGGAACCACTGATTAAAAAGAAAAGAAAATGTAAATTATTGATACAATAAATTAAAAAAAAAATTACCACAAACTTATTTACAACAGGCTGGTAAGGCTGTGATTTAAACAAAAACAAAAAATTTCACAATGATCAATCATCCTTATAAACTTCACTCACTTCACAATCAATATCTTATGATTTTCTTACTTGAATGGCCTACAACCTATTACTAGTTATCCACTATATACTATAATGGACACTATATTTAAATATGCTTAAGATATTTGTAACACTTGAAAAAATACACGTTAGACTTCGACTTACTAAACCAGCACAAGCCAGTTTAAACAACCAGGCACAAAGACAAAAACAAATTTTTACTTTCAGAAATCTAGAAGCAACTAATAAATATGTATGATTCTAAGACTAAAAAATCTTACTTTTTATTTATTAGATCCCTTAGGCAATAAGGACAGGACTAAAAAAAATCTTACTTTACGAGATCTGATAGCCAGTAATGACGAGTAAAAATTCTTACTTTTTCTGATGTCTAGTAATAACAAGACTAAAATAAATTCTTACTTTTCATATATGAGATCTGATAGGCAGTAATAAAAAATCTTACTTTTCATATATGAGATCTGATAGCCTGTAATGACAAGATTTAAAAAATCTTACTTTTCATATATGAGATCTGATAGCCTGTAATGACACCATTTTCCTCCTCAGGTGCCTCCCACTCCAGAGCAAAGTGATGCGACCCGCGTAAAAATGCCACCAAGTATTTCACTGGTCCAGGGACTGAATAAATATTTTATCAAAACTGTTAACTTCATAGAATTCAGATTTTCCAATAACAAACACACCTAATAATTAGGAATTACTTTAATTTTGTATGACTAATGTAATAGTCATGGCTATTCCACTCACCTCCCTCCGGTGTGGTGAAGTTGACAACATTGCTGGCATTGGAATCAAAGTTTTTATTGCTGACCACTACATAGGCCTCAATTGTAGAAAAGGAAGGCAGGCTGGCCACTGTCCCTCTCACTTTACCATCAGTAGACCGGCGCCCGCGGTTCATCATTGGCTTGACAAGTTGCTTATAGTGTTTTGTGCCATTCCTCCAGGTCAGGTAAATCTAAATGAAATTGTTGAATCATGGGTTACATGAACTGGGAACTAGCATTGTGAATAACACATTTAAATCTAGTTAAATAAACGTATTGAAATCCATTAATATTTTAATTTCTATAAACCAATCAACTAAGCAGAATATGAACTGAATTACTGGGTCCAATTAAATTAATTACTTTAATGAACTATTCAGATAGCTTTCTAAACAAAATACTTGTTTTGTAACATGCCATCTGTAACACACCAAATGTGTGAAAGTCAAATTCTTGCACATTTACTTTGAAACATCATTCTATAATTTGTGCATTCCACAACAATCTTGTCACTTGACATATTTCCCCTACAGTAAATGTGTTCTGGAATGAACAGAAAGACATACCGTGTATCCAATGAACTCTCCACGGATGAGCTCTGGGTTTGTATCCACAGGATCCCACCTAAACCCAGCAGTGGTAGCTGTCACGTTGACATCTGGATCCACCTCAAAGTTCTCAGCGACCACAAGGGGACCTAATTGAGCAATCATTTTAGTAGAATTTTCTTTATTCAACAAGGACAATCTGTTACCTATATATTGTCTTAGTCACTCAATATAAAAATTAAAAGACTGCATTTACATCTCATGGCATTGTAGAAAAATCATTCTTTTCTTGGATAATAAAATTTAAATTAAGTTGCTAAACTTTTTTAAAACAAAACTTCATTGTACAACTCTGGCTTAAATTTTTTTTTTTAAAGCATTACTAAGCAAATGACTTCTAAAAAAGTTCCTTATATATAAGGAGTATAAATATAAGCTAGTTAGCATTGTTAACCAACAAACATATCAACATGAACTAATGGGGCTGTTGTACATACTTGCAGCTCCAGAAAATCCAGTGAAAGTGTCTGGTTCTAGCAGGGCCTTGCCAATTTTGTTTGATGCTCTCACTTTGATATCATAGGGGCTAGTTTACACAGAAGATAAAACAAGTTAATTAAAAAGTCTAGTGACAATTTAAGCGCAATTTCCTTATGTTATCCATAACAATTTTAAATCGTCATCACGTTCAATAGATGTGTCATCACGTTCCATGGCTGCGCCATCACGTTCAGTAGGCGCGCAATGGTTTTTAGTCATATATATATATTGCTATATAGTACTGTAGTGTATTATGTATAATGTAAGTTTAAAAATTTTTTTGTGACCGAACGAAAGGATATTTTTGAAAACTTTCTTCAAAAATATTGTTCTAAATTATGGCAGGAATCGATTGGTAAATGTTTCAAGTCGCTAAGTGGTCTGGTTGCCGAGATATGGGCCAAAAACTGCATTTTTTTTAGGTTTTTTGGCTTTTCTGGGAAATCCAGGAAGGAATTCCGGAATTTTTTTGGCCCACTATCATCCTCGTAACTTGCTTAACATAATTGCTTTGGAACTAGTCCTCGATATTGCTTCGTTGAGGAGGAGATACGACTTAAAGCTGCGAACACACATCCAACCATCCATCCATCCAGAAATTGCGCTAAAAAATACTATTCAAACAATAAACTTATTTATGTATGGTAAATATTTAAACACTATCACATGGACTGTAGACATGGGTGCCTGAATATTAAAATTTAATACCATTTTAACTTATGAAAAAGCCATATGATCCTCTTACCTGTAAATGTTCTCGACTGGTATACGTAGATGTGTATCAGTCACATTTTCATAAGTTTTTTTATTGCCAGGATTGTTTTTCTCTGTAATCTCTACAATGTAGTGGAAATCCTCTCCATTTTCATCTATTTTATCCAAGGGCTGGAATAGTAATAAATAAATAAAATAAAAAAACAAAGCCAATTTATGTGCAGCTTAAAGCTAAACAGATGTAGATAATGCAAGCTTATATTGATTTTTATCAATTTAATAGAATAATAAGTACTTTTTAATTATTATTTTATATTATTTATATGTTTCTAAGTACTATAATAATAATAGTACTTATAATCCATAACAATTTATTTTGACAAATTAATTAAGTGAATTAAAGAATATCATCAAAAAATTGTTTGATAATAATATTAATTTTTTTTTTTCTAATGGGGCTTGCAGAGTGGATACAACCCTAGCTCCTCTAGTTATAATAACAACACACAATAATAAGCTGTAAAGCCAAAATAAAAAAGCTAACATTTAAATTTTACAAAAAAAATTCTACAAGAACAATATTAAAGAAAAGATCTAGCAGTTACCTCCCATTTGATAACCAAAAAGCCAGTGAACTGTTCATCAGTGTAAACATTGCTGGGATTCTTCGCTGGCCGATCCTCAGGTGTATTGCACACAGAGGGCGCCTCGTTACTGGGTCCACTGGTCCCTAACTTGTTCACCGCTCGGACTCTGAACCTGTACTTGGTGAAAGGCGAGAGGTTCATTGTGATTTCGCTCTCAGAGGGTGGCGCCGAGAGGCCTGTGAGCCAGCTGTCTTTGTGGTTGGTCTTGTACTCCAGGACAAACTTGGTGATGCTCATGAAGTTGGACATCCTCTCCTCAAACCTCCAGACAACCACGGCTCTGTCCACAACGCAGGTTTTGACCGACACGTTGTAGGGAGGGTCAGGCACAGCTGGTGTGTCACAATAAACAACAAAAATTTTAATTAAATTATTCTGAATCCATTTTTTGCAAATGGGATAACAAACAATTTATGATTAATATAAGTATAAAACTATAATCTACAAGAATTCTATTTTTATTTAAGGTATACAATAATAATTATGTATAATCAATTAGATTTGTTAAGATTGATAATCTGAAAGGTGGTTTAATTATGTGGAGATTAACAAATTATAGGAAAAAACTGTAAGATTTACAATATAGGGAAAAATACTTCATAGAGGCCAACCTTAAATAGTAAATTATCTTCAGAATATAATGAGTTATCGCCTAATTATAAGTTGACTATGAGTTACAATGATTTATAATCTATGAGATCTAATGTACCACAAAAACAGTATCTGGTGGTGCTATGTAGAGACTGACCTTGAACTTGCAGTGTAGCAACTGCTGTATCATTGTCCAAACCATTCTCAGCTACACATGTGTAGTCACCCGTGTCGGCGCTGGTGGCGTGGCTGATGTGTAGCTCAACACCGCTGGTGTGGATACGCTCTGATGGCGTCAGTGGATGCCCATCTTTCAGCCAGCGGATCCTGAAAAAAGTGGTGTGGTCAGGAAAAACATTTAGAACATGTAAATTTAATGTAAATTACTGTGTTTATTAAACAGCAGCTAGTAGGTGATTATGAAATACACGGGGATAGGATAACACAAGATACACAAGTACATTGCAGTATCTACATTTAAGCAGATTCATGACCAAGGAATGAAGTAGCAATAGTATTTTGTAATCAATACAGCCGTCTGTGCTAAATTCATGTAAGGTGACCAGCTAAAGCATGTGGAACACCTACTCAAAAACCCATTGCTAAAGGTACCTGAGGTTGTCCACTTCAGTAGGATCTGTAGTGGCTCCACAGGTAAATGTAGAGTTGGTCATGGCAAAAATCATGGCGCCAATAGGTTTAGTGACTATCTGGGTCCTCACTGAAATAAATATTAAATATTTATTTTTATTACATTTTTTTTTAAAAGTAAGATATCATTAGTAGGTGATTTAAAATTTTAAATAAGAAAAATTTAACTTATGTGGTGGAAAAATTAATTTTTTGTTTTTAAGAAGAATTTAAAAACAAAAATGAACCAATCCAATTCATGACTAAAGAGATGCCTAGAATAAATTAATACATTTATTTATAAATATATGGAACAAAAATCACATTAATAAACAGACACATAACCAAGAATACTACATCATACTCAGGGTATATGAACATATCAATATAAAATAAGTTTTTTTAAAAAACTCACTTTTGACTGTGACCAGGCCTGACCCCTCTTTTTCACCAAATTCATTCTTGGCATAACACCTGTAGCTTCCAGTATCATGTTTTGTTGTGTTCTAGAAAGAAAGAAATGGTTGTCATGACAACTCATCTTAACCTCACCACTAGTTTGACACTACATCTGTGATTCCACAAACCTACACAGTGTTTATGTAGTGAATGAGTGAGGGGGAGAATGGAGGTGAATGTTGTTTGTTACCCTGTCCCTGTTCAATCCTGGTGCTGAGAGTTGTGCCACAGTTTGTGCACGTGTATATAAGGTGTGTGAGAATATGTATGATGGCCTCAGTTCAGTCCTGTTCTACCAGATTAGTGTAGGTTAGTCCTGTGTATTTATAGCCACAGTATCGTAGTGTGCGTACACCCTTATGTTGATATTTAGAATAGCCTGTGTTTGTGTAGATAGTAGAATATTTATGATGGCCTCAGTTCAGTCTTCGTCTTCTACCAGTGTAGGTTAGTCCTGTGTATTTATAGCCACCTTGTAGGTTAGTCCTGTGTATTTATAGCCACAGTATCGTAGTGTGCGTACAACCTTATGTTGATATTTAGAATAGCCTGTGTTTGTGTAGATAGTAGAATATGTATGATGGCCTCAGTTCAGTCCTGTTCTTCTACCAGGTTAGTGTAGGTTAGTTCTGTGTACCTTATGTTGATAATTAGAATCGCCTGTGTTTGTGTAGATAGTATTAAACTCTTTTTAGTGTTAACAAGCTGTTGTTTTATTCAGTCTAGTGTTCTGTAACCCTTTTGTGGTTGTTCATCTCATATGTTGTGCGACGCAATGTATCACGAGTAAATGTGTGTCTGTGTGATTACAACAGTTTAACTGCTTACCCTAATGATGAGGTCCCCATACTCCTGTATCTGGTAGCGGTCCAGTATCAGCTGTTGCTTGTCCTTAAACCAGTCCACTGTTGGCTTGGGTTTGCCCTTGACGTGGCACGTGACCCGCACGTCGTGGCCCTCCACTGCTATCACCTCATCCAGGGGTGGCTTCTCTATGTAGGGTGGCTGGGCTGGTTAAGTGACAAGATGGAAACATTTTTAAATCACACACAAATTCTGGCAAGCTTAGCACCAAAGTAAACAACATAATGGCTTAAATTTAAGTTTTCTATAGATAGTTGTTTTTCTAAGATTAGATTAAACAAGATTACATATATACCCAGTTTAAACCAACAGCATACTGTCAAGCTATACACATTGTTACAAACTTTTTCAACAGTAGTATGAGATGATACAAGTCTATAAAATACAGGTGAATAGTTATAAACTTCACGGCAGCTACCATTTTATTTATTTACGATAGAGGCAGTAGATTAAATCTTGATTTTAATTCTTAATGAGGGATTATGAGGTCAGCAATATTATGTGCCCTGACTTGAGTGAGGTAAGTGTCAAAGTTAGATAGGCTTACTCTGCAATTAAGCGAAGAGACTTCTGGGTTAGAACTCTACCACTGAAATCACACATGATTTTATACTGCTGTAAGCTAAATAGTTAAGTTAGTTTATTTTACACAAGTTTGCCTAAATGGAACTAGCCTCTCATCTACTTGTCTAATTCCCAACACAAATTGCCTCATGTCAACTCTGTATGATAAATGTTCCGTGTCAACTCTGTTATGTTAGCTGTCACATATCAGCAGCACTGACCTTCAACAAACAGGTAAACATCAGACCACACAAAGCCGTGAATGTTGGAGGCGTTGCACTGAATGACCTGAGAGTCCTCCTTCTTCAGCTGGGTGAAGGTCAGTGTGTGTCCACTCAATTTCCTGTGGGGCACTACTCGCGCATCTGATGGAGTACAAAAATAAATTTTTAACAACTGACTAAAGAGAGACTTGATCTGCTATAAAGATATTAGGACTAGAGACAGACATAAAATAAAATAAACTCTAGCCTGCTATGTTATGTTATTTAAATACTCAACATTTAAACTGTAAAATTAAAAATCATGTAGATACTGGACAACTATATAAATATTCAGTTTTTACCCTACTAATCCTAACCGGGTTTCAACCAAAATTAACCAGAGCAATGATTTTCTAAAACAATGTCCTCCTGACAATACATTTTTAAGAATAAAATACTTTTGCAGAGACATTAACACTACAAAAAAATCATTATAAATTATCACCAAATGAATCATTATAAATAGGTTTACATCACTTATGCTGCATTTCTTACAAAAATTACCTTAGCTGCACTAAATTATCCAAGTGATATTTTTAACCTAGAGATAATCCAAATAAATACTTTATACAGACTTTATAATTATATTTACATAGACTAAAATATGTTTTATACCAACACCAAAGAAAAAAATAAAATTCAATCTTGATCTAAAATTTGCCCAAGAGCAATCAGTATTTCAATGAAGTTTTCAACAGCCATGAACCCAATGGGTCACTGAAGTCACACACCATCAACCACACAAACAATCCCACCCTGACATAGTGAAGTGGGTTGTATTGAGAGTCAAATACAACAGCCATGAACCCACTGGGTCACTGAAGTCACACACCATCAACCACACAAACAATCCCACCCTGACATAGTGAAGTGGGTTGTATTGAGAGTCAAATACAACAGCCATGAACCCACTGGGTCACTGAAGTCACACACCATCAACCACACAAACATCCCACCCTGACATAGTGAAGTGGGTTGTATTGAGAGTCAAATACAACAGCCATGAACCCAATGGGTCACTGAAGTCACACACCATCAACCACACAAACAATCCCACCCTGACATAGTGAAGTGGGTTGTATTGAGAGTCAAATACAACAGCCATGAACCCAATGGGTCACTGAAGTCACACACCATCAACCACACAAACAATCCCACCCTGACATAGTGAAGTGGGTTGTATTGAGAGTCAAATACAACAGCCATGAACCCACTGGGTCACTGAAGTCACACACCATCAACCACACAAACATCCCACCCTGACATAGTGAACAAGCAAACCTGATGATCCATGATCTAACTGGACTGGGTTAACTCTAAGCTAACCTTGAGACGACTAATTCATCACCAAGATTTGAACCAAGCACTCTACACCTAGTCCAGACCTCCCCTTTCCAAATAAGTTAGCACTCCCCAGTGTAAAATGCAACACAAACCAACCTTCAATAGGCCTTCCATCGATGTACCACTTAACCTCAGGGAACCAAGCACTCTACACCTAGACCAGACCTCCCCTTTCCAAATATGTTAGCACTCCCCAGTGTAAAATGCAACACAAACCAACCTTCAATAGGCCTTCCATCGATGTACCACTTAACCTCAGGCTCAGGGACACCAGAAGCTTCACAGTTGATCACAGCACTTTCTCCAACACCCACCTCGTGGTCTTGTGGCTTGTTCTTCCACTTGGGTAAAGCTACAGGAAATAAAATGGTATTTTTTTTAATGAGTTTTGGTTGGAATTATAGCTGAGATACATAGACTATTGTCTAGTGGTAATTTCAGTTGTGTTCTTTAGGTTATTAGCTACGATTTGGGTTTTTTTTTTTATATATGTATTATTAATTTTTTTAATTTTGGGTCCGGTAAAAACACTAAATTTTGGGGTCTTAAATTTAGTGTTTTTAACTGACCGACAATTTGAAAATTCATAATAAATTAGTTTGAAGATCTACACTTAAATTTGAGTTGAGTACCCCAAAATATGGTAGAATATTATTCATTAATTGTTTATTGAGCTTAAAATATAATTACTTATGAATGCTACAAATAGGTTAATTTTTCAAGATGGCCAATGTTGTCACAGTTAACAAGATTTTCCCACAAAGTTTTTGTAATGGAAACACATAAGCGAATGTACCTTACAAAAGCTGTAGAGAAAAAAATTGTTTGCTCTCTGGTATTAAAAAAGTTTTTTTTTTACCAAAGCCTACTCCCTTAAGTAATTAGTACCATTGATATCATCTAACAATGAGCAGTATCAAACAGCGCACCTTCAACTTTTAAGTTAAAAATCTCCTCCTTGGGCTCCTTCAGCAGGCCATTACTGCCTTTACACATGTACTCTCCAGCATCTTCAAAGCGCACGTCATTGATGATCAGCTCATGATGCTTGATCTCAACACGGGCGGTGTCGTAGTTGCCAACCACTTTCACCCATTGAATCTCAGGCTCAGGGCTGTGAGAGAAAGAGATCAACATGCTCAGAATTATGCTCTATCCAGCTCTATATGGCTGGTGTCGTAGTTCCCAACAACTTTCACCCATTGAATCTCAGGCTCAGGGCTGTGAGAGAAAGAAATCAACATGCTCAGAATTATGCTCTATCAAGCTCTATATGGCTGGTATATTAGTTCCCAGAAACTTTCACCCACTGAATCTCAGACTCAGGGCTGTGAGAGAAAGAAATCAACATGCTCAGAATTATGATCTATTTAGCTCTATATGGCTAGTGTCGTAGTTCCCAACAATTTTTACCCATTGTGGGGGAAAGAAATCAACTTGTTTAGAATTATGCTCTATCCAGCTCAACACAATACATCCATATTTATGTTCAGGGATTTTCAAAAACACAAGTGATGCATAAAAGATGGGAAAGCACTAGCTACTATCCTGTGTATTCAAGAAAAGTTAGCAGCCACACTTGTCCATACTGCCCTATTGGTAAAGTTAATAGCCACACTTACCCATAATGCCTATTGGTTAAGTTAACAGCCACACTAAGACTTATCCATAATGCCCTATTGATAAAGTTAACATCCACACTTATCAATAATGCCCCAATGGTAAACTTAACAGCCACACTAAGACTTATCCATAATGCCCTATTGGTAAAGTTAACAGCCACACTTATCCATAATGCCCCAATGGTAAACTTAACAGCCACACTAAGACTTATCCATAATGCCCTATTGGTAAAGTTAACATCCACACTTATCAATAATGCCCCAATGGTAAACTTAACAGCCACACTAAGACTTATCCATAATGCCCTATTGGTAAAGTTAACAGCCACACTTATCCATACTGCCCTATTGGTAAAGTTAGCATCCTAACTGACATATTGATAAAGTTAACATCCATACTGCCCCATAGGTAAAGTTAGCAGCCCCACATTTACCCATACTGCCCCATTGGTTAAATTAAGACTAGGTAGTGAAGAAAAAGCCCAGATAACTTACTAGCCAGAGAAGATACACTTGAATGTTGCTCTGTTGCCTTCAAGGACCAGTAGTTGATTATTTGAATGCCACAACATCTCCACTCCACTCTCACTGATAGCATCTAAAAATACAAAAACACAGACTAAATTAACGATGTACTTTACTAAATGGTACAATTAAAAAAATATATATTAATTATTGCTTAATAATAACTACTGATGACAATAGTTAAGATTCAATCAAGTAATAGATTTGTTAACATAAAAATTAGATTAAATGTACGGGATTTTATTGTATGAAGAAGACAAAATGTAAGTTAAATGAACATAAAATTCATCATTGTTTTTCAAAATAGAAAAATGTTTGTATAGAAAAATATTACAGATTTAGAATCAATATAAACAGCTTAGATAAGATCAGACAGGTTAGCTGACTTTTATCTTCAACTACTACATTAGCAGTTGCTACTCAGTTCTATTTATTGTTCAAGATCTACTCACTTCCAATGGTCTCAATAATCTTGTCCGCTCCTTCATTTTTGGATCTTGTCTCGTAGTTTTCAGCACTGCAGACATACTTTTTCCCACCCTGTTCATCTTCTTTAGTTAAACTTGTGATGTAGAGATTTCCTGTGGCGAAATCAACATACCATCAACACTTATACACAGCCAACATTAAGCTTATAATTTTATATTTAAACTCTTGGACCTGGTATCATGGTAACCACAGGTACACATTTTTACATCATATTAACATAACTGTGGTATGTTTTCATTCAGTTCTTTTTATTGCTTCAGTTTTTTAAGTAATCTTTTTCTTTTTAACTCACTAAATCATGTATAAAAACAGTTTTATTTAACACAATTATTATCTAATTACTAGGAACTAGTTGAAACTGATTTTCATATAGTTATAGGCATTAACTACAATCATCTTAGTCTTATCAATATTAACATAATTAATATCTAATAAAACATCTAGGTAACATTTGAATAAAGGTTATAGATACCAAATCATAAATTCAAACAACTATAGGGGATAATAAACACAATTTGATCTGCAAAGGGCAGTAACTACCGTCATAGTCCATGGTAACTCTTTTGTCTAAAGGCACAGGGATCTGCTCCAATGACTGATCATTTCTGTAGTCTTTTTTAGGCTGCAGCACCCATCTCACTTTAGCTTTTGGGACACTATTGAAAAAAATCACATTATTTCATTTAAATGAAACCCAAGGCTTCAAAAATATAAAAATATAGTACAACTTCAACTCTGTTATCCTATGTATGTTTGTAGGTAATTTTTACAATTTTATCATTATTCTTATAGTAAAATATGAAAATTTCTGACAATATTGTTTTATTTACTAATATTTGACTATACAAAAACAAACAAGTACCTGAATGGTGGTGAACAGGTGAGTTTAACACTGGAGCCCAGAGCTTTCTTGAGAACAGTGGGTTTGGTAATTTGAGGGAATGGATCAATGTAAGCATGGCTGACTGGAATCAGGTCAGATAATGAAGTACCACACTTATTTACAACCTGGTGAAAGAAGGGATTGGCCATTACTGCAAGTATAAACCTTAACCAGTTTAAAATAGTTCACTTAAAATATTTTTTTATAAAATCATTTTTTCAGATTAAACATTGAATAAATACATGTTTAGTCCCTTTAGCTTGTTTTTTTTTTTAAAGTCATTCTCATAAAGCAAGCTCTATTAAATCCAACAGTTGATTCAATTTTGATTTTTTTTGGACCATAAAATATTGGATAACAATGAGCATTTATTCAAGCTGAAAAATATTATATAGGATGGGGAAGGTGAGAGATTGAAAGAGAAGAGAAATAGTGAACGGAGCTTGAACATCATTCACTGTCTTATAATCTATCAACCACTACATCATTCATTCATCATCATGTTGTACATCATTATCCTGTGTCTCATTGATGACAGTCTGACTCACCTTACACTGGTAGGAGCCAGTGTCCTCACTGGTTGCATTGACAATGACCAGGGTCCCCACACCAGGGTACAAGGAATGTCTGACTGTGTCGTCCTTTGATTCTGTCAGCTCAATGATGTGGCCGTCCTTCATCCAGGTGTACCTGTACAGCCAATACACAGGAGAGTAAGTACTGATGTCAGTTCCTCTGGTGTTAATAGCTGGGGTTGTACTCAACAACATCTTTTCCAGTTTGTGCACAAGTGGGGCAGATGAGGTAAAAATCTTCTGTTTTAATAACCTTAGCATATGTGGGATAGTCTGGTCAGCACTATGCGCAGAAGCCTTTGTTTCTCTAACATGAGTCAGGCACTAGCTAGAGTTGGATGGACTCGAGCATGGGACATGAACTTAAGACTTTCAGGTTAGCAGTCATAAACGCTACCATCTGACCATGCCATCCCAGCAATAAAGCCACATCATTTATGTCAAAATCTAACTTCTAACATTGTATACAGTAGCTATTTTATACTTAGAGCAACTAATCAGAATATGCTATTATGTGTGTGTGGGAAAGGGGGGGGGGGGGAGAGAATTATTTAGAATTGAAATATTTCGAAACAATAGTTAAATTTTATTAAACAAAATGTTTCAACAAAACAATAATGAATTATTACCAGTACAAAACTATAAAAAAAAATATATAAAAATTGCACTGAATTTGCTAGACTGTTATAATATTGATTTGTAAGCAGATAAATAATTCCTCTCTTCAAGTACATACGTTAATGGTCCACTGCCAAAGGCTTTGCATGGCACATTGATAGAATGGGATGATGGAATAGTGTAGTAAATTGGCACCATGCTCTCCTCTATAATGTTGGGTGGCTTGCAATCTGAAAGTATTTTATCAATCAGGTTTAAGCTGGAAATGCTTTACTTGTTTGGTCTACCTGGAAATCAAAACCTACAGTCAAGGTGTGGATCAGCTGACATTGTCCAGGCCTAAATATACAGATATGTTTATCAGAAGGGGAGGTGACTCTTGTGAGTTTTAACTGGTTGGAATGCCACATTATCTTGGAGCTGTAATGTTCCATTTAACCTATTACTGGGAGTTCCCTGTAATGACATATTGTCTCCCCTGGTTACCTCACTGGATTGCAGACTATTTTCCCATGTGAATATAGCACAGTGAAAGGGTAGACAACTTTTTAAGTGTCTGTGTGTATGAATAAATAGGAGGCATATAAACAATTCAAATAGCAGAAAAATAAAAACATCTATAGTTGGGGTTTTTTTTTTTATACATTTAGTTGTAAAAAAAATATAAAATGGACAGCCTAAATATTTATTGTCATTGTTTTAAAAACATCTAGGCTTCTAGTGAATTGAACAAATTTGAACAACAGGCATAACATGTTCTTCCAACTTCTACTGGTTAACCCTTGATTTAAACTAAGCTAGGACACATGCTAAACATGTATACCATGTATTGTGTAATGACTACTAGGCTGAGCTAAGAATGTGTTTAGTCAGCTCAACTTAAAAGTTTGATTCCAACATGAAATGATTTAAATATTGGCCTCATCAGCTCATCTAAGAGTTCTGTTATAAAAAAAATAAGTGGGGATTAAATAACAAAATAAAAAAACCCACCCACTGTAGTGTTTAAATAAACCCACTCATTCCAATAATAAAACAAAGCCCCCCCCCCCCCCCCCCCCACACCCCCATCAAAGATTTCTAGCACAAGACAGCATTCCTCCCCACCTGGTATCCCCAGGTACGGAATTCTGCAGGGACCAAAAATAAAAGAAGAAAAAAAAATACAACGAATGCTGTGGTGATGCAGATTAAGCCTAGTAACCCCCCCCCCCCCCCCGTGGCTTAGGGTAGGCTGGTAAATGGACGTAAGCAAAGCGCGAGAGTTGAAAACACTACGATGGCATTTACAGCCTGCAAGGTGAGTGGTTCCCACGCTACCCAGGCCCGTCGTATGCGTGTTTGCGTGAGCAGCCTAGTACTGTAGGAATGTGGAGCAGTATTGCGGGGGGGGGGGGTTCCTTCCTGTTGTCGTTTTTATTAAGCTCGTCCGAATTATGTGCAGTCGTAAAAGACAATGATCCACACATAGGAAGATTAAGAAATGCTATAAATAGAAACATCGATTTTTATTGGTTGATTAGCCCCCCCCCCCCCTTCCCGTACCATCAAATCTAGTATTGCCAAAAAAAAAAGTTCAAACCTAACCCAAAACCTAATTGTTAGAATGTAGGGGCCCTTAAAGACTCATTACTAACGATGGCAATTTTTTTTTCCCATTAACGAATCGAAGTAAAAGCTAAGCTTTAGTTTTATTCCGCATTTTGAGTTGTTTTTTTAACGGTGTCGTAAGGGGTCATCCATAAATGACGTCACCTTTTTTTGACGATTTTTACCCCCCCCCCCCCCCCCCCCACACGTCGTCACAAAAAGCCAGACACTCCCCCTAAAATGACGTCACACCTCAACCTACAACCCCCCCTACCCTTAAAATTGCAGTTGAATTTTTTTTAAACATCGATATTTTTCCAAAATCTTGTCTAAACTATTACAATTTATTAAAACAGTTATCTAAAACGCGAAATAACGTCTAAAATTCGTTTTCTAACATTGCTTTTTTATAATGCAAAAATGTGACGTCGCAACATCTGAACCCCTCCCCCCTCCCCCTCATCACACATCGTCACAAAATTACGGACACCCCCCTCCCCCTACGAGTGTGACGTCATTTATGGATGACCCCTAAGGGTAGTGGAGCTTGTATTGAAGGAAATGATGTCATTACTTCTGTTTGTGATTGTGAGGGTATGAGAGGTATGGTATTCGACATTAAGGTTAGAATTCTTGCTGTACTGTGTATAGCCACGAGTGATGTAACTAGCAACACCAAAAAAAAAAACCGTTTCTTTTTACTTTTCGGAAACCACGTTTCTAAAACAAATCAAAGCTATTTCCAGGTTGTTCTTTTATCCAGGTATAAATTATAAACTTCTGGAAATACTATAGAAAATACAAACTATTTTGTATCTACGTTTTTTTAGTGTGTCTTAAGTTTTTGTTTGTTTTTAAAAATACACCCATCCATCCAATTTTGGGGAAAGAAAAAAAAATGTCATCAAAGGAAAAAAAAGTGTTTAAAAAAAACGGGGTTGGGTAGGGGATTGCATATCTACTGTAACTGACGATTCGCTCTGGATCTGGTGTAAACTAACTTTCTAATACTCATTCTGCTGTATAAGTGGATGCATAAGATCAACTTAATACAGATCATCTTGTTACAAGTTTGATATTCTCTGCACGAAAGTCTAGCTCGTGCCACTGGTATTATATGAGCTATTTTGCAATATGCGACTGATTGTTCAATGTGTATAGTGTAACGTGTTTGATTTGATGTATGACCAAAGAACACTTACTTATGTATTGTTAAGTACAAATTATATAAGAGCGGTCTCAATTTTACCGTCCACCAACCCCCCCCCCCCATCCCAACAATTAAAATAATGTATGAAAAAAACTTTCAACACTAATAGCTTATTCCCTAGCTACACCACAGGCCCAATGAATATATTTGGGCCCGAGATAAACTTTAAGATACGGGGCCATTATCCAAATAGTCAAACAGCTATACAATTGATGAGAACTCAATAGAATTAAACTAATAGGATAAAAAAACGAGGAAGAGTTAGGTAAAAAACGGTCTTGCGTAACTGCACTGCATAGAAAGGTCTCTATACTGAATGTAGAAGAGTTCAAAGGTTAAGCTCTGGACCGTTGTTAGTGGTAGCGCAGCGTAAGATGACCGTGGGAATGTCAGGGAGGCTGCCGTCAGTGTACTGGTTCCTGTCTGAGACAGGCAGGTAGAATAACAGAGTGACGTGTTTTTGTTGCCCCCAGACGGACAGGTAGGTCAACGACTTCCCTGGCATGTTGTGTTGATTGACAATAGGAATACACGAGGCTAGCAGGCTCACAGCGCCATCACCGGAATGTACAATACTTCTAAATAAGTCCATCAATCGTTGTGTAAAGTTGAAGTTTGCATCCATGTTCTACACAACGCCATCACCAGAATGTACAATACTTCTAAATAAACCCATCAATCGTTGTGTAAAGCTGAAGTTAGCATCCATGTTCTTCACAACGCCATCACCATAATGTACAATACTTCTAAATAAGCCCATCAATCGTTGTCGGAAGTTGTATAAGTCACTAACTTATAGACACAATCTAAAATCTTTTTTTTTTAAATGTGCACTATAGGATAGTAAAATTGCACTTAAATACTTAAAAACACCATGTTCCATAATACAATATAACACATTAAAATATCAATAAACGTTAAATTACAGGATCCCGATAACTTCTTTTCTTCCTTAGCTTATTTGTGTCTCTAGGTAAACTATATGAATACGTCTTCAGTGCACTTTCTTTAATGGTTCTTTTTTTCCTCCAACACAGTCGAGTATTTAGTGTGAACCTGTTATGCGCCATATGGTCCGCTGATTTCGACCACAACCTGTTAATCATTTTGGATTTGCTTCCATAGCCATTATCTAACCAATAACAAGCTATAAAAGCAGCAGTTTTTTGTTGTTGTTTCTTCAGTTATCATTCTTAGATGGGTTGCGGTACCCAGCTAACGAGCCTTATCTGCCCCAGGATCCGAACTTGAGGCTTATAGGAGTTAGCAGTCAGGCCCGACCACACCGTCCCCTCTCTACCGGTTAAAATACTAGAACACTGGCATTGTGAAATAAATAACGACTTATCATAAAAAGACCTACTGTCTGCATTGAGGTACTGGCCAATGGTCTTGCTGCAAGCCACCAGTGCCAGAAGAAACAGGCGCCACTGTAATCTGACTTCCATTGTGGGGTGAGATCGGACTGGTCGGTGACGACAGGGGTTGTTGACCTAGAGAAGATGAAACAAGCTGTAGTCAACTTTGTTCTATAAACGTTAACATAGTATACCAACAGGCACATTTTCTACTGCATTCATTTTGTTAACGCCATCTACACATGGTCAACATTATAAAACGGCACATATTCTAGTACGTTCCTTTTGTTAACAGCATCTATAAATGTTAACAGTACATCAACAGGCATATGTTCTACTGCATTCATTTTCTTAACGGCATCTATAAATGTTTAACAAACAAGACGATACATAATCTAGTACGTTCCTTTTGTTAACAGCATCTATACATGTTAACGTAGTATACCAACAGACAAATGTTCTACTGCGTTCATTTTGTTAACTACACGTTTAACATAATAAAAACAACAACACATATTCGAGTAGATTCTATGCATACTCCACAGAAATCAAAGTATCGGATAAGCTAATGACGACACCAATACACAATAGCATCATTAGACTGAGAAGAAAATTGCAGACATTTATTTGTAAGGAAGAGATTTATCTTCTTGTATAAACGGTATCATGCCGCAGTTATCGACCTTATGTCAGTGTTAACAGAATCGATAGAAGCAACAAAGCCAGAGCTTTATTATGTTCTATTCTTGACAACATGGGCTGGTGCTAGACCAGAGGCTTCAGAGCACTGAGGCGCCAACTGGTGGCAAGGGAGGCGAGTACGTTTATACACACACATACACATACACGTCCACACACACACACACACACACAGACACACAATTAACTAATACTTGCTATTAATTAAACATGTGATAAAACAACATTAACAAAATTAAACTTTATACCCCTATTTTAAAAGCACTTAAACTAGCTTTTTATTTTAAATTTTCAATCATATGATAACAATGTGACAAACAACAATTCTTAATCAGGTTAATTAAATCTGATTAATATGACGTTATGTAATGAATGCAAGTTTGTGCAACATAGAATGCCATAATTGCAGAGATAAACGTATTATTGTGACTGGGTTATGTAAACATGTCTATTGGCTCAATACCTGACACTCCGACAACTCGTGTAGGCCGACACTCTGGTCACACGCTGATGGATCTAATTCAGACTAACCACACTCAGATGGACCACACTCAGATGGACCACACACAGATGTACCAAATTCAGACAAACCACATACAGATGTACCACATACAGATGGACCACACACAGATGGACCACATACAGATGGACCAAATTCAGACAAACCACATACAGATGTACAACATACAGATGGACAACACACAGATGGACCACACTCAGATGGACCAAAGTCAGACAAACAACATTCAGATCTACCACACTCGGACCACACTCAGATGGACCACACTTAGATGGACCACACTCAAATGGACAACACTCAGATGGAAAACACTCAGATCTTCCACGCTCGGGTAACCTCACTAAGGCCTATTCAGTTTCCACTCGGAATGAGGGAGGGATACATAGATGAAAAGTACTAAAGAGGCAGTTTTCAGTCTGAAAACCATCCCAAGGCTCATCATGCGATGAATGAAGAAAAGGAAGATACATTAATATTACCAACCCGCCTTTGAATAACTAACTGTGAGTCCTACGTCATTACGTTTGTTAACTAAGACTAAATGCGGAATAGCGAATTTTCATGTATTATTAGAATGCTTTAACATAATGCTTATAATGAAACAAATGACGAATAGCCGCCAACATTTCCACAATGTAATGAATAAAGTATAATTACACACACGTGTCCCAAATTACTTAACACATTAGTACCGAGGGACTCGCCATAACGTTACTTCGATGTTAGGATTAGGGATGTGGTTAGGATAATGGTTAAAACGCATGTGTACTTGTTAGTATCAGTACTTAAGTATCTATATATCCATTCTCTAAAAGTAGAAACAGACGAAGGAAAATGATGTTATGTTTTGACCGGATGAACTCATACTATCGATTGTAAATATCGATTGCGTCCACTCCTTATCAGTTCGTCCTATTCTGTGATCAACTCAAGTGAACAAATCCCTCTAGTTTTAAACTAGGGTCCCCATATGTGTAATCAACTGAAAGAACAAATCCCTCTAGTTTTAGACTAGGGTCCCCATTTGTGTAATCAACTCAAGTGAACAAATCCCTCTAGTTGTAGACTAGTTTCCCCATATGTGTAATCAACTAAAGAACAAATCCCTCTAGTTTTAGACTAGGTTCCCCATATGTGTAATCAACTAAAGAACAAATCCCTCTAGTTTTAGACTAGTTTCCCCATCTCTGTAATCAACTCAAAGAACAAATCCCTCTAGTTTTTAACTAGTTTCCCCATACGTGTTATCAACTCAAAGAACAAATCCCTCCAGCGATGTCAACCAATCCGGCCACTAAAACCGATCTGTTTACCCAACTGACGTCACAGCCGCTACAACATCACGTGGCCACACAGTTCACTAACCAACCAAGGGCTTTATTTTTTCTCCCTGAATGAATCTCTCAAGGTAACGGGCTAGACGTCCCCTAACAAGGGACGCTAAGGAAACCACTCAGCGACACCCACCTACGTATTTGCACGGCGGCGTGCTAATGGAGTCCCAGAGCCATCACGTCATCATTCATACGACAACCGCCCATTACTTCAGCTAGGGAAACCCGTTTCGCCGGGACGCAGGAATTCCATAGAATCCAAGAACCGAGGCATTTTTTTTGTATAGTCCCAACGTAAACAAACACGCCATATAAAAAACGCTGCCTCCCACTGAGAGAAATTACACGCTCTGTATGCAGCATTTTAAATGCCCTGGCATTATAGCTACAGCAGAAACTAGACTTTCCCAATGTAGAAAACTAGTTAACGTACGTGCACTAAAAAGAGTGCAAATAAAAAAATTCATCAAAAATAACTTTTTTACACAATTGAAAATCAAGCGTTGTTCTTGTATAGCTAAACGAGTATCCTCGATACTCTCTTGAATGGACCTATATTAGATTTATTAAATTCACACAGGCTATACACATTATGTAACAAAAAAGACAGAATTAAATAGAAGTTTGCATCATCCTTTGGTGCTGACTGGGTCTATTTTATAAACAGGAAGAAAATATTAAGTGATTTATTTTTGTTTTCTTACATCGAGCATTTACTGACCTTAACAAGGATGACTACATGTACATTGTAGTATAATCAAACACTTTCCTCCAAAATATGACAAAATGAAAGTGTTTTTGTATAATTAATTTGTATTTGCGCATTTTTCTGTTTGCGCTAATTTTCTGGGAACCACAGCATGTTAGGTTTTTTCGCTTACGTAACAATCTATAGGCATGGTTACCAAGGGCATTTGGTTTCGGACACCTCAATTTGTTCTAGACCAACTTACCTACTTCAAATGCAAAAACTATGTAGTAAAATGTTAATTCGTGACAAAGTGATAGCTGTAACTGGTTAATGATATGTTGAAGAGTAGGGGGGGAGGGGATATTTTATTGACAACAAAAGTGAAATCAACCTATGTCGGGTGTTGATCCTCTTAAATACAGACCAAACCTCTCAAACCATCCCATCATGAACCCCCCTCCACACACACACATACTTATCAATATCCACTTCCGTATCCAGTTCCCTAACCCTATCCCTAACTGTGTTTTTTTAATTCTAACCATAAATTATCCTAAACCTATCCCTCTTTGTATTTTGTATCTTCATCAGCCCCATCTCTAAATGATCAGGGCTAGTTGACACGAGTAATTGGCCTGGCGGGAGTGGGGGTGGGGGGAATTGACGAGGGGGAAGAGGGGTGGTTAATACCCTGCTCCCTATTTGTATACCTTCCTACACCGTATACATTCATAATAGAAAGGGGGTAGGAGAGGAGGTTAATGTCCTACAGCCTGCTTTTATACCTTCATACACATCATTACGGCAAACACCAGATTAAAAGAAAACGATTATACCTAATCATATCTTTCCAAACTTTCTAAAGTGGCCTATTATCACAATGATGTTACAATTGCATCGCTGCTTAAATTATAATCACTCCCAAGAATGATGTGGCCCAAAATGGTGGAAGCTATTTATAGACTAGAGAGAGTGAAAATCTTGGGGGGGGGGGGGGGGATATCTGTACGATTTAATGTCTGCTAGCTTCGGGAGAATGGATAATCACGTGACACGTACTCACAAAAAGTGGTTTGTTGTTTTCTTAAAGGGGGGGGGGGTTGCCGGGATATAACAAATGGGGATGGAGATATATTTGTCCTGAGATATTTTGTACGTGAGATCATTTGTCCTGTCACCGTTTTGGGAGGCACTGATGAATGATGTCACACATTCTAGAATATTTGTACTCACACAACCCCCCCACCACCACCGTACCACGCCGTGAAGTAAGTCTGAAAACCCTCCCCTTAAATGTTTGGCGTAATTAATAAAAACATCTTTTTACGGAGTAGCCTATACACGACAAAAGGAACATGTTTTATTTGCTGTACATTTAAAACATGTTTAAATATGATAATCGCGTGCAATAGCCTGAATAAGTCAAACATATCTGGATAAGTGCGTATCTCATCAAGAATAGCTCACAATTAAGATGCAAATCAAACCACTATCAATCCCTGATTGACAGCTAGACCATTCCCTGATGGTTGTATCGACTAGACCATTCCCTGAAGTTTGTATCAAATTACTACCAATACCTGATTGACGACTAGACCATTCCCTGATGTTTGTATCGACTAGACCATTCCCTCATGTTTGTATCGACTAGACCATTCCCTCATGTTTGTATCGACTAGACCATTCCCTGATGTTTGTATCAACCCACTATCAGTACCAATACCTGATTGGCAACTACACCAAACCCTTTTGTTTGTTCCTTATCTATGCAGTTCTAACGTTAATCGACTGTTTTCTGCAGCAATTTCGGTGTTTTCTTTCCCCCATTGAAAAGCCAGGAAAGGTGGGTGCCTTATCGTCGGACAGAAAGGTCAAACGGTTCAGCAGTTAA